TTCCCTACATCAGTAGGTAGGTAGATTATAACTAAGGATAAGCCAAAAAAAAAGAAGTATAGTGGGTGTATCGCGGGGTTATGTTCCAAGACCGCCTGCGATAGGCAAAAAAACGCTAAGTAAAGGAGGCATCATAGGGCGTGAAATATGGAGAGAGAAAATTAACCAAACCTTCACAAATCTCGTTTACCGTTTAGGATATTCCCTGCAACACCCTGTATGTATGTGTTACAAAATGTATTTTAATTTTTTTTTTACTTTTATTGTATTGTTTTCTTTTTTCTTAGGCTAGAAAATGCTTATTTCATCACGAAAATTAATGGAAATTATTAGAACTTAATATAGGCTACCGCAAAAACCAGCGATGAACTGAGGGCCAACAGCGAAACCACGACACAGCGATGGACGACTGTAATGCAAACCAATACACAAACCTTTGTTTGTGTATTAGAATTATGGGAGGGAACTTTGACTACCTGTTGTCACAGAATGACTTTGACATTCAGTGTTACATCCGCTGATGTCGTTGCAGGGTGTCACCACCACGCTGTAGGTCGTGTCACAGAGGAGGTCAGAGAGGGCGCACTCTGGCGCTGTGTCATTACATACAATAACATCTGAATCGAGTGTAGCCTTGGTCTGGTACAGCACGGCCCCTCGCGTAGATGTCCAAGTGGCCTGCAGAGTCTCTGTGCTTATCGTGGAGATTTCTACATCGTTTGGACAGCAGGACACTGCAGATCACAGGAGAAACAAATACATAAACAAAAATGCAGGTCAAACGGCAACGTTGAAGAGCAGAGAACAACATCTCCTTAAATGGTCTCATAATTTTCACAACCTGTCACCTTTGCTGAAACTTACAGGTGGTAAAGTTCTTCTTTACTGGTGTACTCTCGCCCGCATCATTATATGCATAGACTGACATCAAGTACATGTAGCCACACTCGCATGTAAAGCTGCAGATGGGGCTAGCAGTGTCACATTCCTGTAGAGTGCTGTCTGATCTGAGGACGTTGGCGATGTATCCAGCAGCATAATCCACTGCCTCCCATGTCATCTGGCAGTTTCCATCACTTATTTCACTATGTTCCAAAGATCCAGGCTGGCAGGGGACTGGCATTAGAGAGCATCAGAGTTTTTGGTCACAATCACCCATAGTGTCCATAATGATCAGTGGTTATAAATCATGTTATTATAATAATAATTATTATTATTATTACTACTACTACTATTAAATAATTAAATGCATTAATGATTGTTTTTAATTATTCCTAATGACCAATTATTTTACCCACATTCCATAGATTGAAATGATTACCCATCATGACTTTAAGCCTAACGTAAAATAATGAAATAATCGTCCTTCACTGATTTAAAAGTTGTGAATTTAGGTAAGTGTTAAAAAAGGTATTTAGAAAATCGGTAACAAAACAATGATAGACAGTACCCCTCATTTGAGGTGTTACTTGCACAAAGCCACTGTACAGTAAATGACATGCACTAAAAAACATAAAACATTTTAACAAATTATTACTGCACAATCACTGCTATAAACAATCTTTTTATACTCACAAGAAGTGAAGACTTCAGAGTCAGTTGGGGCACCGGACCCAGCGGCATTTGAGACTATGACCTGAATTGAGTGTTGTTCTCCACAGCCCACTGGAGACAGCACGCAGGAACCAGTCGTGGAAGTACAGCTGAGATCGACATTGTTCACATTTCCCGTAATTTCTCCCCAGACCTCTGGATCAAATGTCCAGGACACAGTAAGCTCTGTCACACCGTCACCATTCACGGTCGAAGAGACACTGACAGTTGGTGTCGGAGGAACTGTTACAGAGACAGAAGACAATGACACGATAAACAGAACATCAGAGCTACACAAGTAAAACCATGTTTAATTTAGTCTCGGAACTTGATTGAGTCAAAGAAATCATGATTTGTCGAAAGTCGAAAAAAAATTATATATATTTTATAATTTCTTACATTATTATTGTACCCAGACTTCATCAAAGTACATTTTCGGTATTGCGCTATTGACATTTGTGAACGTGCAGTATCTTTATGTCCTTCAAAACCTTTATTCCAAGCATTCCAAGTTTCACAGTAGTATTACATTAAGAGAAGCTGGATCTTAGGTATTAAATACTGACAGTTTATATATAAATACATAGAGCATATATAAGCCATAATATAGCCATATACACAACCATAAATATGTCGTAATCCGGGCAAAGACTAGGGGTCAAACTGTTCTTGTCTTGTTTGTTTCAAAACTACCACTAGATGGGGCTGTAGTTCTATATATGCCGTATGTTTTTGTCATTTGATTAGTCACTGTAATCGCTTGATCTTCGAGGAAAAATAAAAAGGCGATTTAGACGTAGTCAAAATAGACATACCAGAACAAAAGAGGTTGCGTCTCTCATAATCTGCCACTTTCTCATGACAGCTGCAGCATTTTGGTTACTTGGAATCGACCTGATATTATAATCTGTATATAAATTCTGAACTATACACACAGAGTGAAAAGCAGAGAGAATTTGAGAAATAAGAAAAGTTATGTAATGTTATGTTATAGTTCAGTATGTGGCTCTGATTTCCATTATCTTGTCTGGAGTAAAATCCAACCCAAATCATTCAATGTTTGACGATGGTGGGGTGAGGGAAAAGTCCACAGGGATGTTGGACAGAGCAGAGGGTGAGTTTTACATACTGTAACTGAGGGTCATTCTATGACATACTCAATCCCTCGATCATTACAGATTTACATTTTAAGCTTTACACAAACACACAGTTGAGTGTCCTTACTTGTTACTTGGGTGACCTCTGAACTGGTCTCCCCTGTGACATCTTCAGCATCCAAGGCCCAGCAGTTGATGACATAGAGTTGTCCAGCCTCCAGGCCAGAAATGGTCACTGAGGTACCAGTGGTTTCCTGCTCTGTGGTGTCTTCTAATGAATCCAGGTGTATTGATACAATGTACTTGGCGGCTTGATCAATGGCACCCCAAGAAACATCAATAGTGTCAGTGCTGGCAGAGGATGTGGTGAGCACAGGAGGAGCCAGAACTGTGGAGAAGAAGTTTGCCTTTGTGAGCTGTACTGAAAAATAAGCCATAAAATACAAATATTCATAATATAATAGACAGTATATTGCAGACGTCACTGCAAAAGCTGGGTTCCATTTGTCAAATGATATTTTATAGTGTCATACTTTACACCTCTGGTGTTGTAGGAGAACCACAAGTTCAGAACCAAGTTGGCCACCCATCATATCATCGATTTTGTCAAATCCTCTGAAAAAGCATGTGTCTTTGTATTTATTTTATGCTGTGCGCACAGTAGAGCAGGAATAATTTTGTATTTTAATTAAGTATTTAGTGTCTGATCAAGTCATCTTTACTTTGCTGGCTGAGTGCAGACACTTGAGAAAACAAGATATCTGTGTGATATTAAGTGACCTTTGTTGCTAAAGTACAATGAAATGTACTGATCAACTATCAAGATGGAGACAAAGCCTTCTCTATACATGATTATTTTTGCTTGAGAGATCATATATATTTTTCCCCTCCAGGAGGAAGTAGGGTGTAAAAAGTAATATCATTGCAAGCAGGATGAGGTCAGCTCTTTGTCTGTTTATCATCGATACAGGAGAGACCCAGAGGGTTGTTGATGAATTTCTTGGTTGAGAACAAAAATGGATTTGCACAAACACTGAAAATGCCCAGAGATGTTGTGTGCATTCACTTTAACTACTGTTTTTGTGTGTGTCTATTAGAGGACAATTGAGGAAGATCAGTTGTCGTCTTGAAGGCATGGGGAGTTGTGACAAAAGTGTCACGTGTCAAATGAATTATGTGTAAAGTTAATAGCTTCTAGTTTTTCTTCTTGAATGTCAAACTAAAAGAGGTACAAAACTCTAATGTTCTGCTCACCAAAATTTTATAAAGAAATAACAGTACCTGTCTTTGCAGTCACCGAAAGAGATGGCTGTGCACGGCCTCCTCTATTCACCGCCATGATACTGAGTGAGTATTCAGTGTAAGGTGTGAGAGACGGGATCTCAGCCGGGGAGGAAGGAACTTCATCTTCTCTAAAGAAGCCTTCAGAGTTCTGGATCCTTACGATGTAATGTGTGGCGCCGGTTACTAGGGTGAACTCCACCTCAAAGGTTGTGCTGTCCTTTGACACCACACTACTGATGGGAGCCATCACCTCGGGGGCTTAAATGATCATTTAAAAATATTGAACATATGCACAGAAGCAGAGAATATAGAACATGCCAACATATTAACTATCCATCAATAGATTGTGCTTTAACATTTTAGAAACAGAAATTCATCACACCTGTTATTACACCAATTGTTTCGGTACCCAGAACAGTTTCAGCGACATCAAGAACGTCAATAGAGAGATAATAATTGGTGTTGGGAGTCAACATATTCACAGTGCCCATGATCACTTGTGGATCAAACACAGAAAAAGCGACAATGGTGTCGGGGTCACTTAGGAGGGCGGCAGAAACCCTGCAGGAGGTGGTGGCGGCAATTTGGTTCTCCCATGCAACAGTTACACTCTTGGATGTTGCTGTGAACACGGATGCAACCAGATCTGGAGCAAAGTAAAAAAATTGAAACATGTCAGTACACGTTTATCAATTTGACACAAAAAATAAATAAAAAAACTTAAAATATTGATTAAGGATTTGAGTGCTTTAAATCAGTGAAGAATAGTTAAATATACAGTTAAATATTGTTTTAAAAAAGAGTCAAGAGTACCTTGTGAGGCAGAATCCTGTAAACATAAATAAGAGTCAATGGTTATAGTTTGGTGTAGTTCATACAAAATTTGAAGATAGTTTAGGTAATGACAAGTTCATTTTATCACTGTACCTGAAGGCATGAGCCCAGCAGGACAAAAATCGTCATCCACTTCACTGTTCCCATCCTTAACCTGTGTCAATAAAGATTCTTCTCAGTGTATGTTTTTTCCAGTTAGTAGCTTCTGTTTGTTCTCCTTGATAAATGCTTCTCTTTGAACCCCTTTTACCTGTCCTGGTCTGTGTCAGTTGAAATATATGCAACTCGAACCTCCCACAAGATGGAAATGTCCAATTACAGGCAGAGAAATTTGAGAGGGAGTGAGGGAGTCATGATATCCTATATTCAAGGATGAACTCCAGGAAAGAAAAATGCGACATAAACACTAGACAGGAATTCCCATAGCTAGAGGCCTCGAAACAGTGAGTCTCACACTTTTGTGTTAGAGAATTCAATACGTTACAACACTATAGAAACTGAATCCTATAATCCTCTATTTTTTTTTCTTTTTAAATCTTACATCAGAAATCATTTTCTGCAAAACAATGTACTTAAAGTGTGTAGTTTAAAAGTTAACTTTTAACACTTAATTTTAAAAAATCCAAAAATTATAATAACAAACAAACAAAAAACTGTCAATATTCAGTATGGTCCTCACAATGACTCCTTTGATGTCTTATAGTTGTCAATACTTTAGCCCAAATAAAGATGCCTACTTCTCACTATATGTGGTTCCACAATTTATGACTTTATCAAATAAATGCCTTTTGCTATTCAGTGCCAAAAAGGATTACAAGTTAAAACTTTTGAGAGTAACATTATTATAGGTCATGTAGTCAGTAGACGAGGAAAAAAGATGGGGATCTATCATCTGCTTTAATCTAGGAGACGTGTTGTTGACGTTGCATAATTAGGTTTCGTCATGAAATTACTGTTCTGTTGAAAAGCATGAAGCATGTGAAGTCCATTTACAGAATATAAAGGGAGTGAGTTGCTAATATAATAAGAAGTCGCTGGGAAAATGTTTTATACTTGTCTCTCCAGAGACAAAGCTAAAAAACTAAAGCTAAAATGCGGCGTTTTGTAAACGTTGGTGGCAGCACGAACTCTGTCAGTGTATAAACATGCCAGTAATGACACAGAAGAAGACGTTGGCACTGTAGACGTCATTGACTTGGGACCGGAAGAGGTGCGAACGAAGGGGGAAAAAGATGGCGGGTTCAGAATACGGACTGAAAAGGATAGTTTGGAAAAGTAAGTATATTACTTTAAAATACTTTTATGTACTAACGCAAACCAATACAAAGCTTTTATTATACACATTGTACAACGGAAAAGTTTCACTGAGCTGTTGTTAGGCATTTGCTTACCTGTGACAATGAACTTTTCTACTGTCAGTCTGAAGTTGCTTTTCTGACTGCGGAAGTTGTCAAATCGAACCAACAGGAAAAACGAAAGACTACTAATTATGTAAAACACGGGCTGGTGTTTTCTGTGAACATTTCGTTATTCAATTTTGTAGTTGTCAAGTTTTAAGCCGGCCAAAGCCCTGCCTCGCATTTTGCTGCTTGTTCCGGTTGCGTGTTTACAATGACAACATAGACTGGCTGGATGTAAAACCAACTATGACTTTATGTACTGTAAAGCTTTTACGACACAATCACTTAAATACTCACTCTTGCAACTCGTGTCAGCTGAGTCACATTTTTAGTCCTCATTTCTCAAATAAATGCTACAGGTTTGCTCGTTTGGAAACAAAAGTGTTGATGGCAGCGTCACTCGAGCTAGTCTGTGTTTAGCCGATAGATATTTGTAACGTCTATGAGGACAAAAAGAAAATATGGCATAATTTTGTTGGTTGGGAGAACTATGTTTGTGTTTGAGTGTTCAAGAATGGAAAATGGTTTGTGGGCACATCCTTAAAACACAATCAATACTTTAATGTCATAATTACGTAAACAATGTGATCCTCTTGGGTATGTCTTATGTGCTCTGTGTCCTGCAACCCTAAGGTGTATTCTTTGTCTTTTTCAGAGATAAAAGAAATAGTTTTTGCAGATGGCAAAAAATCTGAACTATGCAAGGTAGGAGGTGTTTTATGATTTTCTAGCAAACAGGGAAAAATGTATGGCTCTGAAAGTTTAAAAATGTGATAATTTGCTAACATAGAAACAAAATAACATCCCAAGTCCTTTAACCAAGATTTCCATAGGATATCTTTGTGTTTGACTGGTTAAATTTTCATCCTTACAGATATTAATTCTCGATCCTTTCACCACCAAACTCTTGTCATCATGCTGCAAAATGTCAGATTTGATGGCAGAGAAAATCACAAGTACGTCATGTTTGAAGAACTGTTTTACACATGATACTGATCAGTGCTAAATGTACTGAATTTTACATGAGGATGCACCTAACTGTTGTGTTGTCATTTGCTTCTTTTTAATTGTCTAGTTGTAGAAGACTTGTACAAAATCAGACAGCCTGTTCCAGAAATGAAAGCCATTTACTTCATGTCCCCCACACATAAGGTTTGACCTTATAACACTCATTGTCACCTATTATAATGTAAACATCCAAGAAGTATAATTGTGTTTTTTTTTTCTTGATTTGTAATTACAAAATGACTATTGTATGTCTCAATGCAAGATGAAGAGCTGAATTAGTTTTAATAGCAAAGCATTGATCCCTGGGATTGAAATGTTGCATTTGTTTTATATATAACTGGCTGTTGTAAATAACAAAAAATATATTGCTTGAGTGCACTTCTCAGGTAAAACAATTACATTCACAAACAATATTCTTTTTGTATACTGATTTAAGAATGATATGACATTTAAATAAACATAATAATGATATTGATGATAATAATACACTTTTCTGACAATCTCCTGAAATCTCTGCAGTGTGTGGAGGCCTTTATTGCTGACTTTAAGCCCAAACCCAAATACAAAGCTGCATATGTTTATTTCACAGACTGTAAGTAACAGATTTACTTATTTCAAATTAGACTGTGTTAAAGATTAAGAAGTTTCTTGGCAGTTTATGCACAACTTGCTCTGTTTCTTTTCAGACTGCCCTGATGAACTCTTCAACAACATGAAAATGTACTGTGCTAAGTACATACGAGTCTGTAAGGAAATCAACATGTCCTTTATTCCACAAGAAGCACAAGTGAGTGTTGTCAGGGGTTTCATTTATTACTTACTTTTTTATTTACTTAGGAATAGCATAGTTCCTTTAGTGCTGGGTTCTCAAAAGGTGGACTGTGGCCCATACCCAGATCTCGACATGATCTATTTCAGAACTGTACTTGAAAAATAGTAATTTAAAAATGAAAATAGTTCTTTACATGCTTTAACATTAATCATTAAATGATTCTGGGGTTTTCACTGATGGCGAATTTTCTGAAATAATTGAAATGTAGGTAATTTATATAAAATGTAAGGTGAGAACTGAATAACATGGAATTCTGTTTTCTGTCTTTCTTCAGGTGTTCACATGTGATAATCCAGGAGCATTCCACAGCATCTATAGCCCCCACAGTCAGGACAAAAAAAAGACCCTGGAGACGCTGGCCGATCAGCTTGTCACGCTCTGTGCCACGTTAGATGAAAATCCCGGAATTAGATACAAGAAGTAAGCCAGAGGAAATCTAACTTCTCATTTTACAACACACCTCAGTAAACAAACACACAGGTTTTCTTAGGAGAAAGACTGTTACCAAAACTACAGAACAAATCAGATAATTTAGAATAAAAAGTGAAAAATGATGAAGGTAGTTATTTTAAAAAGCAGGTGATTGATGTAGACACATTGATTGTTCCCAATCACTTCAGAATTTCTTACATATCTCACTTTGTTTGTTTATGTGTTTGGTGTCTTGTCAGACTTAGATTTATTTACTCCCCTGCACTTTTTAGACCCAGATGACCTGAAGTTGCCCCCCAACAAACACTCTGTATTAGAGCAGTGATAAAATAAAGTACGGTTAAATAAGTGGATATACAGAGGGCGACATTCTGCACGTGCCTTAAACTGGTAAAAGATATTCGGATTAAGTTGATCAGATGATTAACATGTTTATTTTGACAGCACTAATTTGAAAGTATAGTTATAGTTGTAGCCCATTTTTCATTATTAGTCTATAGTGAAAAAGAAGTTCACGATTTGAGAAAAATGCATTGTTTTGTTAAACCCCTGTATTATTGTATTATTGAAAATATTCATATCACATCCAGAGACAGCAACATGGAGAACGCCAAGACTCTCGCAGAGCTTGTGGACAAAAAACTGACCAGACATTATGAGCTGGATGACAGTGGAAAAAAGAAGGTGAGATCCCTACTATGAACTTAACTTTTATTGTTTAACATGAAGCAGGGTTCACAACAGGCCATGGATGATTTTCCCCTTCGACAGTTTAACAAAAGGTATTATCTACGAGAAACCGTTGCCTCCTTTGCCTTGAGCCGATCAAAGTGTTGTTTGTGAAACCTGGTATGATAAAAGTTGCTGCTCCTGGGTAAAGGCTCAGTCTGTATCCTGCTTGTCACGGAAAGAGAACAAATGGTCAACTGACACTTGGGCTGCAGGCGACCCTGAACAGGCCGAAGCACAATTGGTTAGAGTTGGATGAACTGGTGACTCAAGTCACTTTCATACCTCTGGTGACAATCTCGTTCTGTTATTGTGAACTATCGAAAAACAAACAATACAGGACAAATATGATCCCAGACGTATTGCATATTAAAAAAAAAAAATTGGTTTGGTTGGAGCTTTGGTCGCACAAAATGTTTATTGTTACAGGACAACAATGATGCAGGTTGATTTAGTCACTTGGCACATAATTCAACCAGGACTAAAAAAATCCCTGTTTTTAAGACATCTGGAGAGTTTTTGGTTCTTTGTATGAGGGCTCCAAAAATAAATTTAATAAGTTAATAGAGCATTTCTTGTGTACATACGTTTTTGGTCCATAGTGTACGGATGGTAGAAAAAAAAATATGAAAAAAAAAAGTGTGTTTTAAAAGGCAAATAAAGCAACACTAAAGTTGTTTTGATTTTTTTTTTTTCCCCCAAAGTGAGTCGTGGGTTATTTCCACTGAACAAATCAAAAAGCCTCTGACTTTCGCTCAGTCATTTTCTATTGTGTGAGATGGTCGTTGTAGTTAGATACAGAGGACAAATTTCATTGTCTAATCTCATATGTTTTTTTTCCTTTATATTTCCAGGAAAAGACCCAAGCCCAGTTGCTGATCGTGGAAAGGTCTTTTGACCCGGTCAGCCCCATCCTACATGAGCTGACCTACCAGGCCATGGCCAATGACCTCATTAACATCCAGAATGACACCTACAAGTAATTTAAGCTCTCTTTTCTCTAGTCCTCCTGATTGACTTTTATACATATGATACAGTCTCATAAATCAGAGGGCCAGGTTCTCTTTGTTTCATTTTCTTTTTTTAAGTTTGTTAAAAAAAACTGTGATCTAAAATGACAAAACTGAGCTCCAGTTTAAAGATGACTACAGGACTTTTGCTGCTGTGTCTTTCCCCCTTTTCTTCTCCTCTTTCTTTGACCTGGTAAATACAGGCAGTGAGAGAAAATACGAAAGAAAGGAACCAAACAAATGAAACCCACACACACTGACTGAGCAACATTATTTAGCTGCATAAACCAGACTCAAGTGTAAAGATATTGTTGTGGACAGGTACAAATCAAAAGACGGTTCAGAGAAGCAGGCCCTGCTGAATGAGGATGACATGCTTTGGGTGAAGCTGCGACACAAGCACATCGCTGAGGTTTCAGAGTAAGTTTTTCAAGCGCTGGAATATGTGAGTCTTCTGTCGTCACCTTAACATTTACTCTGTATTTCCATCTGTATTTTCTTGAATCACAGGCAAATTCCCAAAATGGTAAAAGAAATATCTGCAAGCAAGAAGCAGCAAGATGGAAAGGTGCAGTTCCTCATCTGTCAAAATCCACGTTGTTGAAAAAAATACAATAATTATTTAACTATGTTTTAAATTTACCTTCCCAGATCACAATAGGCAGTTTGGCTCAAATGATGAAGAAGATGCCTTCATTCCGTAAACAGATGACTGAGGTATGAACTGACAAACTATAGCTGCATCATATTGAATGGTTACTAAATAAACAGAGCCAACATGTCATTTATGATTTATTTGGGCAGGGGGCTGGGGCATATTTACATTAACATGTCTTGTTTGACTACTATAATTCATTTAGCTATTGAATGTTTGAAATTATAAATTAATATTCATTCTATGTTTGAATTTCAGCAAACCATTCATCTGCAGTTGGCCGAGGACTGTATGTCACATTTCTCAAACAACGTGGAGAAACTCTGCAAAGCTGAACAGGTTTGTTTGTGGTCTAGTTCAGATCTACAACGAACAGGCATACGTTTTGTAACTCTGCGGTAGAGGTGTTAAAGAAATGACCTTGGCCTATACATGTACAGTGCAGAGATTTTTAATTTGCTACCTGAAATGTGTAAATATTTAGATTGGCTCCTGTCTATGTAGGATCTGGCAGTGGGGTCAGATGTGGACGGTGTGAAGGTAAAAGACTCAATGCGGACCTTGTTGCCTGTTCTGCTCCATCCATACAGCACCCATGAGAAAGTCAGAGCCGTGCTGCTCTACATTTTCAGCCTCAATGGTAAGCAAAACTGAAAATGTAAAAATATACTGTATATATATTGATATATAAAAGATGCGGCATGCTAAAGGAGAAATCAAGATCTCAGATTGATATAGATATCAGCAAATACTAAGATTGCAGTATATGTATTGGACAAGGAAAACTTGTATCAAGTCACCCCTTCTGCTGTTACTCTTCTATGTGGTTGATAGCTTATTATAGGGTAAATTAAGTTTTCATGTTTTTTAGCCCAGAACTTCATTCAAATGTGGTTGTTTTAAAGATGCTGATGAAAAACTCTGACTTGACTTTATTGAGACCCGTATATCATGTAGTCTTAAAAAAGCAGTGGTAAACAATGTAAAAATGTATCTGTAACTGTTTATTTGTAAACAGGAACAACAGACGAGAACTTGAATAAACTCATCCAACATGTTAAGATCGAGGACCAACGAGAGTTTATCCTGAACTGGAAAGAATTAGGTGTCCCCATTATAACATCTGTAAGTGCAAACATTGATGTGGGTGTTGTCCACATAAAATTACATCCTAACTACATCCTTATATTTATATATGTTTGAATCCAGCAGAGTCTCTTCTCTCGTAAACCAACGAGACGAGAGCGTTCCCAGGAGGAGAGGTACAACCTGTCCAGATGGACCCCTGTCATCAAAGATGTGATGGAGGTCAGTGTGAAGGAAGATCACCAGGAAGAAGTATTATATATTTTTAATGATGAGATGGCATTTAATGCAGATTACGTTTTAGATTACAGAGTTAATTATGAAGCATGCAGCAATCCAAACTTCTTGACACCCTTGACAAACATTTGTGAGGAAAAATAATCATCTGGCCTGTAAACATATGTTTTGTTTTTACTTCATTACGGTCTCAGTGTCTGAACCCCTTTTTGACAAGAATCACATTCCATAAAACTGCTTCAAAATCGGTGTACTCTGAAGCTGGATAAGACTTTCAATAAAGTATAATATTCTGAATTTCTTTTTTCTTTTTTTAAATTTCATAAATTCCACATAATAACAGTAACAATATGTAGCTTTAGTGTGGTATCTAGTTTTTTTGTTTTTTATTTTCAAATTAGAGGAGACTTGGTTGCGTGGTTACAGAAGAAAGGTCAAAGTAAAGTAGCTTGGCACCAATATCAAATATGTAACCAAGCTTTTTTTCCCTCAGTTGTGTAGTGAGAACTTGAAGAACTAAAGTGTTTTACTACTGTATTTTCCAGGATGTAGTGGAAAACAAACTGGACACCAGAGATTGGCCTCATCAGTCTGAGTCTCCTGCTGCCTGGAATGGTTCTGGGGCTGTCAGGTGGGTGTCAGTAACCACCCTGTTCCTAATGTGTCTTGAGTTTGATGTTAGTGATGGACTCTTTACTGAATATGTGGGAAAAGCCAAATTTTGTCTGCATTTAATTTTACATACATGTATTCTGAAGAATAACAGCAAAGCTTAAAGGGAAGATTTCTAAGACAGTAGTGAGACCTGCTATGATGTATGGTTTAGAGACAGTAGCACTGTTGAAAAGACAAAAGGCTGAGTTGGCAGTGACAGCGATGAAGATGTTGAGATCTTCGCTTGACCAGGATGGACAGCATTAGAAAAGAGCAGCTCAGACGGACAGTTAAGGTGGAGCCGTGTGGAGATTTAAGTTAGAGAGGTGAGCTGATGGTGGTTTGGATATGTGTTGAGGAGAGGTAGAGAGTAAATCAGACAAAGGATGTTACAGATAGAACTGCCAGGTAAGGGGAGAAAGGGAAATTTAGAAATGTTGTAAAAGAGGACATGGAGATGGTGGATAGGGTAAGATGGATATGCAGACAATCCACTCTGGGGAACCCTAGAGGAACAGATGAAAGAGTTTCCTCCAGGTTCTCTGGCTGTAAAACCCTCCACCCTCCACTGAGTACAGGAATAACTGTGGTTGATCATGGTTGTTCTTCTCTATTTGTGACTTTTTGATTGACAGTAGATGTGCTTAGGGTGTGCCACACCCTCAACTGATGACTGCTGTGATTGGCTCCAGTTCTCCTGTAACCCAAGTAGGAAAGAACTAGAAAGCTATAAGAATAATAGAAAATGAAGGCAGTAAGATTGTGATGAAGTATTGCCCCCTGGTGATGGTATGTGAACTCCAGTCACTTTGGGGTTTTGTGTTAGGACTTGTCCTAAGACTGTTTTAATATTTTAATTAATAAGCAGTTGTAATTAAGTTTCCTTTATCTTCTCCTCAGTGCCCGTCAAAAGCACAAAGCCAGTGCTCAGGACGAACGCCGGACTGGTTCACGGTTCATCATCTTTGTCATAGGAGGAATCAGCTACTCTGAGATGCGCACAGCCTACGAGGTCACTAATGCAGTCAAATCCTGCGAGGTCATCATTGGTGAGTTTTGTTACTGGAGAGCATTGATTACAGCTGAAGTGTCAAATGAACTTTACAGGGCAGACACAGTATTTTACCCAGCTTTTTTTCACACATTATTATTCGCATTTGGGCATTAATTAATTCTGTTCCATTGTAGGGTCTTCCCATATTTTGACCCCTAACCGTCTGCTTGATGACATCAAGGCCCTCAGCAAAGGCCCCATGGAGACTTTTACAATAGAGGAAAGGAGCAATGCCTGAGGTGTCTGGCTATCGCTAACTGCACACTGCACTCAACTCATTCTCCCAAATGGAAGGAAACATCGGGTTCACTTATCTTAACATTTTCACACTCTTTTAAATGATGGAGAACATTTATGCTAAATATGCAGTAAAATCTATTGTATGAGATTTCCTCAAATATACTTAATGTTCATATTTGAGGCTAAACATGCTGCAAGTTACTTACTGACTCTGAGAGCTCTACACTGTCTAACCTCTTCTTTTTTAAACTTTTCATCTTGGATTTGTGCAAAAATATATTTTTCCTCTATTATCAAACTAGACCCTATTTAGCAACATGATAAAGAATAATTATTTTATTTTTGGCATCCCAAAAATCACTTGCTGCCTGTTTCTGGGTCTCAGACAATTCTCTGAGAATACCTTGCATAACTTGAAACCAATTTAACCTATCCCTAAAAAAACATTAGGTCACCTGTCGAAAGCCTTTTTTTTTTTTTGAGAGGGGATTGTTTGAAAAGAAGCACAAAGTTAATGTAAATACTGTATGTAGGCACTTAGTCCCTGATCTGTCATTTCAAATTCTATTTCAGTTCCTGCTGTTTTTAAATAACTATCATAATAATTTTGAAGAGTGGTTTTATCATAGAATATTTACAATTTTGTTGTATTGAACAACTGACTAATAAAAGGATGATGTGGTTCAACATTAGGGACTGTTGTGTAGGGGTATATATATATATATATATATATATATATAACATTTCTTCTGAAGACTTCATGCTTTTAATGACATATTTACAGTAAACTGCAAAAAGGCAAAACTAGAGAAACATGAAACGTTATTGATGCTTCGATTGATAAATTAATAGTTTCCTTGTGGCAGGCAACAGAGACGAATAACTAAAAACCTTTTTCCAGTTGTGTATTTTGCCTTACAGTTTTCAGGACATAACAGGAAAAAATACTTTACTAATTTATGTGTAATTCCTAAAAAGATCTTTGCTAATTACTCTTAGTACTACTCACTCATATTGAACCATGTACGTAAAAGGTTTCTTTCATAGATGGTATGGCAACAGAACAAAGTTAACTTTATATTTATTACCGTAAATTAAGCCCAGGGAATGACAATGAGTAGACAACTACCAGGAGGAGCCTGTAAAAGACACTACTCACCTCTTTCAGGGACAATACAGTATGTGAAACAAAGGCAACATGGTGTCTCAGGAATATTCTAGATCAGATTTAGCCTAGATTTTACCTATTGTCAACAAAAACAATGTGTGCAAACACCAGGAGGCTTAAAATGAGACTTGTTCGTAAGTGGCAGGGAAGGTGCTTTTGTACTGAAGGTGAAAGAAAGTAATAAACAGTTGATCCCATTTATTGTAATGAATAGGAGGAGCTTAGAGTTAAGTTTTATGTGTCACCAAAAGCCACACTGACAAAAGGAAGAGACTGCTAATCTGATCGTTTCAAGTTCATGGATACTTAATGACTGGTAAAGAGAAAGTAATCAGACATCAGCTGTAGTTGTCATGTGAAGCAGCACAGTAATGCACTACCAAGTGGAACAAAGAAAGATTTTCAATGAAGAGGTTCGGTCTATTCAATTTGCACATCTTTAAGTCAGATCGGGGAGATAATTGCAGGAAATGGCAACCCATACAGTATATATCCAGTATATAATATCCTTGTGGCTTCAGTGTTTGTACTCGAGAAAAAAATGGTATACCTGTGTCTGGATGTTTTAATAGATGGTCATAATTAGTTGTAGCACAACCGTAAAAATAATGTTAATTCAAAGAAAATGGAAAAAAAATATTGAACTAGTTTCACCCTTGGCTTATCGCATCTTCTCGGATGTCAGCTGATGGCATTTCAAGGTGTTATTGGTTAATGAAACTTATGCCAGTATGACCTGAATATAAGGTGTTGTCCCAGCACTGATACAGAGATGGGTACAGAAACACTTGTGTTTACACTATTTATTGACAGATAAATTAGAAGGTGGAACCAAAAGAACTGGAGCTGGTGGTTAGGAAGGCAGGCTTGTGTCTGGAAGGTTGCAGGTTCTAATGAGAATGGCAGTGTCGCCTCACAAAACAATACTAAAATAATTGGATTACTCAACGAAGATGGCAATAAATTGGATAATTGATATACAATATTCATCTATATCTCCCTGATAGTGCTGTAGTGAAGACTGTCAATCATCCCCTCTGAGCGTCCACAGAGCAGAGTGAGTTACAGAGTGAGTTACAGAGTGAGAGTGAGTTTAAGCGTCAAGTAACAGTGCAAGAATACACACACACACACAGGGGGTGGTCCTGCTTCACTGTACCGTGTAACCCTGTACAGAACACAGAACACAAGTGAGTGACTTTATGACCTACTTTTCCTTCTGTTGCCATAATGCAATACATCTCTGTCATCTGGTCATAAAAGGTTATTGGATCCTCAAACAAATATTCTTTCTGTCATACGAAGGCCACAGGTCATTCTCAGAAAGTCAATAAAAAAGTCAAGTATTGTGATATATTCTTAAAACAATTGGCTTTTACTTTCTCTTTTTGTAAAAACCACCTTTGGAAAATATCTATTGAGACTTTAGTACATAACAAAATGTTATACTATGTTATCATAGTATATAAATGTTATACTATGTTAAATGTTATCACTATATAATTTTATAATAAAAGTGATTTAGCTATTACAGCCATCAAAACTCAAACACAAAAAATAAGTACAGTTTGACAAAATATAGAAAAGTAGCAGTATTATAGTAGTTAAAAATATACATATATGCAGCACATAGCTACGCAGTCTTTTAAGAGAGAGAAAAAAAGTTTTCAACAATTTATAATTTCAAAAAGCAAAGCAAATTTTTAATTTCCCCAGAAATTGATTAAAAGTTTCCCAAATTAACCAAAATGTTAAAACGAACTAACCATTTAACTGCATCAAAGGCTAGAAGACACATTTTGGTTTGAACGGCAGTTGGCATCATTTTGTTGAAACAATCGCGTATTCTGGGCTTTTCTTTTACACATTTATGTTTTCTCTGAGAAAAACTGATTTAAAACAAAAATGGACAGATAAAAGGATGAAAGATAACACCTCGAAAACTGTAAGTTAACGGCATCTTACGGTCACAAAGAAGTGGTTGAAACTACAGCAACGCCGTAGTGAAATATTCGTGTCTGCGCATGCGTGACAAAACCTCCACTTCCAAGTTTTTTGACAGTGCCATGACGACCGTTGTAACATATAACAATATGGTGTCAACTTTTTATGAAGTTACCATAAAGCCTTTTAACAAATTTACTCTAACTTACTAAAGTTAAACTGAGTCATTATCAGGGAAGAGACGCCTAGGCTGAAATGTTGTCGTCGGACTGCAAAGGTGTTGCGGTAGAAGGTGCCTGTGCTGCCGGTGGTGATGAAAGGGAGCCGGGAGCACAGGAATACAGTCCCCAGTACAGAGCAGCGGAGAGCGGTGAAGAAAAGCAACCACAGCCCGACATTCAGCAGTGGTACGATGGTTCCTGCTACGAGGGCGAGTTCGTGGACGGACTAAAACACGGTACAGGAAGGTACACCTGGAGCACTGGAGAGGTGAGTAAAGTATAAAAGCTAATATAGCTAACGTTGAGTGTAAACTGTAGACGAAATGTTTTGCATTTTAAACACATAAGTCGTAAAACGCAGTATAACGCTGTGTTTAATTGACCTAAATTATTGCCATGATTAACACTTTATTTAACTGTTTTAAAACTAGTTTCAGAAATGGCACTTTAATACAAACTCAATTGCCAAATATAATTCTAAAATGTATTACAAATTATATCCAGTAATCAGAACTATGTAATAAATGTATTTGACTTGAGTTATATATCCTTGTCTGCTCCTCCAACTTGTGCAGTACTATGAAGGCTCTTTCTACAAAGACTACAGACACGGGGATGGGGTGTACTGTTGGCCCACAGGTCATAAGTTCACTGGCAAGTTCTACCTCAACAGAAAAGAAGGTTATGGTAAACAAATTTTCCCCGATGGAGCCACATTCCAGGTATAGTCAGTTTAAACTTTAAGATTATACATTTTTACTACATGAATAGTTTAAATGGCAAAACTTCCTGTCCACTGGGTGTCAGGGTTTGTACCACACTGGCCAAAGGTTTGGGCCAGGTGTGGTCACTTATCCAGATGGGCGCCAGGACGTGGGTCTGTGGGTCGGGCAGCATGTTCTACAACTCTGCAGAGCTGAAGAAGAAGGCTTTACTCTGCAGGACTTTCCTGAATATGCTGCCTACATGGAGCCAGCGGTCATCTCTGACTCTCTGATTCAGGTCAGACTCTTATGTCATCTGGGTGAAAACTCTCTGTTGTGACTAAAGGTAAATGATGACTAAAACATCACTCGTCCCTACAGTCAGTTAAAGGCTCCATTTCAGTTTACTGTAAATGTTGCCCTAATCTGATTTTTCTGTGTTTTAATTAGGACTGTCAAATGACCAAAAAAATAATCTGATTAATCACAGATCAGCTATGTGATTGATGTGAATCAATTGTAATTAATATCAATTATTAATGTTTAATCATAATAAATCATCAATCTTCTTTTTCTGATAGACTTTTTTTTCTTCTTCTCTGTTCTAGCCCGAAATTCAACAAATGAAAGCCCAGGCGACGGTAAAGCAAATGAACAATTAAAACTATTGTAAAATTTGTATTTTATATTTTAAGTTGTTGTATTTAAGAATTAACTTATGCAACACTGATATAAGCTCTTGCTTATAAGCTCTATTTTATATGTAAGACTGTTTAACCTGTAATTTATACATATCATATCTGATGTTCTGTCTAATTATTGACTAACATATAGTAGATTGCACATCCTGCATGGAAAATAATGACAGTAGCGTGTGGAACAGAAGTTTAGGTAGACAACGATCTCTCCCAAATTTTGAAAAAAATAGATTTTGTTTCCTGAAGGCATTAATAAACATCTTTATAGGACATAAAAAAGCTGGAGCTCCAGACATTTTGGACACATTGTCTACATGATTATTGTTTCTGTATTCATCTCAATTTGAATTCCTCTGCTCCGCTCAGGCTCTTGTAGACAAAGAACTGCTGTCTGATGAGACATTTATTTACCCTGTTGGCATTGAGATGTACTCCACAAATGGTGATCACTTACCCCTGCCTCCTGGGCGAAGAAAAGATTTAGATCAACACTTTTATGGCGAGCAGTTGGAGTCAGACGACTATCTTCACCAAGGATACGAACGAGACCCACTTTACAAACTTCCTTTAATGGCTCGCATGCAGGCTAACATCTACAAACACAGGTCAGACTCACGGAAAGTTACAGAGACCTAACACAGGTGAACATTCTTCACCAGTGGTGTCACACTCGTTTCTTTGGCCTATAGTTTGGCAGTTTGAAACTCTTTCTTTATAAGTGCGGGCATTAAGCGTAAAAAAAAAATTGAAAAGTATTTTTCTATTTTTGTTTCAGATGCCAGGCTAAGCACGTGGGCTGGGATGTGGCAGCAGTTCTGTCCTTGAACAGGGAAAGTTTTGGTCCTAAGGGGCCTCTGGAAGTGGAGTCAGAGCATCTGATTTTTCACGCCTCCCGAGGAGACGCACACGAAGTTTCCGTGATCCTCAAGTCTGGTTTGGTGGACCCTGATGTAGCAGATTCACATGGTCACACTGCACTGATTGCCGCCACTGTAAGTCATTATTATTCGTTTAGATTAGTTTGGTCTGTTTTTATTCATTAACTGCAGCATTATTTTATACATTTACATCTTTCAGGTTAATTGCCATAATGATGTGATCCAGCTTTTGTTGGACATGGGAGCTGATGTTGACAAACTGAACAGTGAGGGCATGTCTGCTCTGGCCGTGTGTCATGTCCTTTACTACCCTTTTTGCTCTCTGCAACCCAGCTTCACTCAATCGCCCGAGAGAACTCGGGTAAGACTGAACTTAGTCACTGGAGTCAAGGCTATTTTAGAATTTTTACTCACTTACTTACATTAAAGCACACCTCTGTCTAATCTGTAGTTTTGATTTTTAAACTGTTGCTTCAGTTCTTCATACGTTTGAATCCCCTTTGTTACTTGGTGTGTCCTGCAGGCTGTAACTTCATCATTTGGCAACAATTCCCTGAACAGTCAACAGAGCTTCAGTAAAGACACACCTGAGCCTCACACCACTCCTCGGACCTTTAGCAGCTGTAGCCAACTCTCTGACCAGTAGGAAAACCACTCCACTGTCACACTGTATATGCCAATATTTCAATTAATATTGACTTATCACAATTGTCATGAAGTTATGTCATCATAAAATAATTCACAATTCACTTAAGATCATAATATAAACTGAAAACTTTTTTATTATTTACATTTAATTTAATTTACATTTAAAACACACAATGCTGTTACATACTAAATAAAAAGTTACTAAATTTGGAACTGAGGGATCTACATTTGTAATTGCTAGAGAAGAAATAAAAGAAAAATAAAATTAACCAACGCCATGAATTTTTGCATGGTAATTGTTAATAATAGAATATCTATCTATCTATCTCTAGAATATCAATATATGTTATCTTAGTGTATCAATATTTTCGTACACCCCTTCATTTAATGAGTGTTAATTGGGAGAGTCAATTGAGTATTCTATAGGACTTACTTACATACAACTACTAATCACTAGCACTACTTCTCAATATATTATGTTTTTCTCTGCTAGGAAAATACGTTTTGTTCACTTAATTTAAGAGATTTAATTTAATTTCAGAGAAGCTGAAAAACAGATCCGGGATATCTTTCAACATAGCAGCACAAATTCAGATGACAGTGAACTCACCACTGAGCGTTTCCCTGATCTACATGAGGAGACACTGGAACAGAGTGAGCTGCGGGAGAATGTCGGAGGGAGCAAACAGGAGGAAAAGATGGGGGCTGAAGGGCAAGAGTTGGAAGCAGAGTCTGTTAAAAGTGTGGAGGAGGTCACATTGCAGCCCAAAAAGCAAAGCTTCAGCTCGGTCCGTTCTCTCTGCAGCTACACCATCGATGTGACACAACAAATGATGGAGCTTTCAGCAGAAGCTCTGAGTCGGACTGGCCGTCCTCAGCACTCAGACACAGAGGAGACTGTTCGCAAAATGGCTGCAATGAAAATCCAGTCAGTTGTTGTTTCTCTCTTGTCTGGTGATGCTTTTACCGTCTCTGTGATTAAGTTCTATATGTTTGTTGGATTAGGCACAAGAATCGTCTGAAGACTCTGAAGCTGCTGTTGAAATGGGGGGCCAACCCAAATGTGTCCAGAATTCCCATGCCCGTCCTCTTTTTGGCAATCATGGCAGCTGACGCCAAGGCTGTTGAGAGACTCCTGTTACATGGAGCTCGCACCGACATTCCCCTCACACCTGAGGTAGGAAGAACACACTGACAAAAAGACAGCTAACAACAACGAGTCAGTCCAGTTATTAAATTGTAAAATTATTCAGATTAAAATAAATTATATACACACTGTGTATATTCCATAATTCCACCATCCTATTCATTGTTGTGCTAACACACAGTTGATACATATGGTGTCTTTACACAGACCAGGGAAATGTGTCATTTTACCAAAGCAGCTCTAATCGACATACTATCTTAATGCCCAGCAGGTTTTTGTGGTGCAGAGTAATCACTAAAATCCACCAACTTTACGAAGCAAAATTTGTGTTATATTTTTTCATACTTTTATTGTCATTTTCCATATTATTAATTCCATCATTTGGCTTCTGTTCAATTATAGAATTTATAGATAATTTATAGAAAAAAAGTTTGTGTATTGTCATATTTAGAAAGGTTTATTATTATTATTACTATTAATCATGATTCATTATGATTCACCCACAGCTACCCTGTGATTGATCAGTTTAAAAAATAGTTATAATTCACAGTACTATTAAAATCTATTACAATATTTAAATGTTCTTCTAACCTGTGTTTATAATTCTAGAGAAAAGGCCTTTACCCTTTGCATGTAGCTGCAGCTCTGCCAGGATCTGCTGGTCACACCATCACACAGCTGCTTTTGCAAGCTGTCTCTGACCCCAACGTACAAGCCTGTGATCAGGACGAGGTGTACGAGCCAGATAGGGTGGGTGTGGATTTTTTACACTGTTTTTTACACACTTATACTATATTTAATGTAAAACTTAAGAGTCTACCTCTTGGATTTTACAGTCTACTCTAAAGGCCCAGAAACCTCTGAGGAGGGCCAAGCGACCACGGCTTAAAGAAGGTGGCAGAACACCACTGCACGTGGCCTGTCAGAGGGACAGAGACTTTGAGGTCAGTATATAAACTCCATGCTCTCTGACAAGAAACACAGCTTTCTAGAGCCTGTAGTTAATATCATAGCAACACAGAAAACCAAATTTCTTATTTTTATTTTTTGCAGAATGCTACTAAGGTGGTAGCTTACCTGCTGTCACATGGAGCCAGTACAGATCTCCTTTGGAGTGGACATTCACCCCTCTCTCTGGCTATCGCAAATGGAAATGAGCGGGTATACACAAACACACACATATGCAATATACACATGCTATTTTTTGTTAACAGTCACAGTTAAATATACCAGATTTTAACCAGAGGCTTCTTCCCATCTACAAACCCAAGATCTATAAACTGTGAGCTGTCCAATCTAAAAGTAATTGTTTTACGTCTTCTTTTCACCACATAGGCAGTGGAGGAACTGTTGAAAAGAGGTGCAGATCCCAACATCCCCCTGGGCCGTGCAGTGGGCAGCGCCCTTTGTGCTGTGGCCAACGTCAACTACAATTTGGGTCTCAAAAGACAAAAATTGGTATTGATACAGATATATGAACACCGTTCTGTTAAAAGTTCATAGTTTCAAAAACAAAAGAAGTGGAGAATACATTCATTCAGTCATCTACAGTGTATTTGTGTCTGTGATGTAGCTGGAGATGCTGGCTGAGGCCGGTGCAAACATCCTGATGCCAATCAGGGTGGGTGATGTGGTCGGAACCGCAGTCGACTACGCACATAACTGCTTTAATCAGGTATCACACAAGTCACTGCAGGCATTTAGTTACATGTAAAATATGTCATATTTGTTTTATACATTAAACCATTGTCTGTGCTAAACTTAGATGAAGATTAAACGTACCGGTAATAACCTTAGGGTTGTTGTCACTTGTTAAAAAGGCTGCAGTACACATTTGATTTACTGTGTTAAATGTTCTGTGTTTTCTATAAAGAAATAGGTGTATGCTATATTAGAAGAGCATGACCATCAAAAAGTGATGACTTCAGTTTTGTTTATGATTTGTGGATCAAGCCACACAGAGCAATATTTCTAAATTATATATCCTTGATAAGATGATGCATTTGTTTTTTGTATAATTATTTTTTACATAAAACATGTTTTATCTTTTTATTGTTATTTCTTTCCTCTTACATCTAATGTTACAATCTAGGACCCGAGGATTGCCAACACTCCCTTCCACACCCTGAGTGCAGAGGAGAGGGAATCGTTTGTAAGACGGCGCCAGCTGTTGAGCCTGATGGGAGATCTTCTGAGACAGGCCGCTCACAAGAAGGATATGGAGGAAAGAGAAAAAGAAGAGGAGCTCAAACTCAATGGTCAGTGTGATATATCTGAGATATAGAAGGTTGTTTATGTGTAAATGTCTCTTGAGAGCTTTTTGCTCCTTAAGATCCACTAGTATCTACTGTGACCACTGCAATGTTGTAGCCAAGATGTGCTAAATGGTGATTTTCAATATTAAAAAATATTATTAAAATATATATATAATATTAAAATCCATTGCACCCAGTAAACCATACAGTGTTTTCTGCCTGTTTTCATGTGTGTTATCATACAGGAATATCAGAGGCCTCTGGGTTACCTGGACCAGATGGGCCTCACACAAAAGAAGAACAGAGGTACAGTAAACTCGCCTTTATGCAATGTACTATATGCATTATGAGGCACAAAATAGGAAAATGAAATTCCTGTTAAATGTTTTGTTTGTGATTATGTCATTCTCAGAGAACAAGCATTTAAGTTCTGCTACCACTGTGGCCGCACAGCCTCTGTGAAGTTGACTGCTTGCACCCGCTGTAACAAGGTTTTCTACTGCTCCACTGACTGTAAACTCAGAGCATGGGCAGAAAGACATAAAGACGAGTGTATTCGGGAGCCGAGTAGAGTCCAAGCATCGGCAGAAAATCAGAGAGAGGAGAGTGTCATTGACTTAGGTAGGAGTGATTTTCTCTATAAACAACCAGCAAAACCAGCCATGTTATTTCTTTCAAGGAATATCAGTATATCTTTGTGTTTTTTTTACTTGTTTATTTCAAAGAAAATGTTTTCTAAGGATTTTAATCTGTTCTCTGTTTTCTCTTACTCCAGAATCTGAAAATAGCAACCAGAAGAGAGTTATGTTTAGAATCCAAAAGGGGCTCAAGCTAATAAACGCCAGGTATAAATTCAAAACAATCAACGATCCGGTGCTGACCAAACCAGAGTTTGTGATGGACCTGGAAGAAAACTACAGCCGCAACTGATGGATTATGACATTTACCTTTAGGTCTGACAGTGTATTTGTAGTCCTGGTCATTTTTCTGGACCTTCTTGTGTGTGAAACGCATCCACAGTATTATTATTGTCGACCTCTTTTTGTTGACAGAGTACACCTGTTATCATAACTGGTGCATTCTATTGATTCTAGTTTGTCAACATTGCCAAATCATATAATCAAGTAAGAGTATGTACTTCATTTTTTCTGAATCAGCCAGTTAGCACTTAGTTTTTCAAAATTAAAAATGTAGTTCAATGATAACCAAAATATAGCGACACTTTCCCAGCTTACCCCATTTTGTGTTTATTGTTCTACCCTCTTGTAACTCAGTGGTGCCAAGTTCACCTGTTAAATAATAGTGCCTATCTATCTAGTATCTGATATGGTATTGATCTGATCCTAAGTAAATGGACACGAGTATTGCCGATACCGATATGTTTATGAATTAAAGTGAATGCATCACCAATTTACAGTTGAAAATAAATTATATTTTATTTACTTGCTAACATTAATTATTTATTCATACAAAGTATCGGCATCAATATATGCGATATTGGCACCGTATTTACTTGGAATCAAGCAATAGCAAGTTTTGGAGCGTCACAATACGTAACATCAACTTTTTATCTATTGTTTTATTTTTATTCAATTCTGTTTTAGAGAGCCTTTCTTACGCTGTGATTATGGTATATATTTTGACTGATTCAGTGTCACTTGGTTGTTGCTCTACATTACATCATACACTGCTGAGTCAACAGTAGGAAGAGTTACTGTATCACTCCAGCCGCTGTTCCCTCCCTCATTCTGATCAATCTCACACTGTCAAACAACACAGCTTCAGATCGGCACATAGTTCACGAAATTTTAAGGACAAAAACGACGAGTTTTAACCCGGAATCAACGCAGGGTACAACTTTATACACCTTAGTACGGACAGATATGAACACGGACCAGGAAGAGCAGGAAGACGAACTGCTCGCTCTCAATAGTATCTTCGGCTCAGAGGAATTCGTCCGAAACGATTCGAACAATGGCCCGACTGTTAGTTGAACTTCCGTCCAACTTGACTGTGTCCATGACAGAAGGTAAATAAAACATTTGTTTTCTTTCTTTCTTTGTCATTTAATGCATTGTTGCCGCTAAAAGATTATTAGTAAACAATTATTTCGAAGTCATTTACAATATATTTTGTTTACTACGTGTAAAAGAAAGCGTTTTACATAACGTCTTGCATTTTTTATTCATCATCAAATCCAACAACGGAACGCAGCAGTCACAGTAAACCAAACAATGAAATCAATAGTACAGGTTGGCATTCAGAAAAAAATGCATCAGCTTGGGTGGACTGATACAGTTTGTCCTCTCCGTGGTTATTAGGCTTTATTATCTGCAGTCCTGTTGTTGCAGATGCTGTTTACCTTCGTTTTTTGTTTTTTTTTCTCATTTTACTTATAACCAAAGTCCTCGTATTTAAATCGCTCTCATCGTCTCTCAGTGCGTACCTGGGTTGTACCACTACACTTATTGTTTTTAGAGCGCTAGCCTCCCCTTTCTTCTTTCACATAATGGTTTAAACCTAGTCTGGTTGGCACAGCGTGTGACCAAACAAAATAACGACCCGCCCTTGCCTACTTGGATACTTAGTAGAGCGGAGCAGGAGGGGCTGAGTCGGCTCGTTCGCGTAAAAGAATCAACTCTTGATGCTGGCTTGTTCGTGAACAACCGATTCCAATCCCGAGTACTGGATGGAGCCACTCCTAGTTGGCTTCTCTTCGATTATTGACCGGTTTAATGAACACGACGTTTGAATAACGTGTTTGCTTTGTGCACGTTTGTGTTTTCTAAGGTGAAGTAGTGAGCCAATATGAAATATCATTCCTTCCACCTCTGCTCTTGACCTTTGAGCTTCCAGCAGACTACCCATCCTCCTCACCTCCATCCTTCAACCTCGCCTGCAGCTGGCTGACACATCCACAGGTCAAATATCGGAGACACCAGTGCTAACACATTCTTAGAAGATCCTTAGTTATCTAGATTATTTTCATCTTCACAAGTGAAATGCAGGCACATGGTCACACTTTTGTAAAAATCCAAGCATTATACCAATGTCGGTGATTGCCTCATGCTCTCTCTCTACAACAGCTGTCTGCGCTGGGCTCTCATCTTATTGACCTCTACCAGGCCACAGGGGGCACTGTGATACTGTTCTCCTGGGTGCAGTTTCTTAAAGAGGATGCCCTTAAGTTCCTGGACATCCACACACTACTGGATCTCTCCTCAGATGAATACAAAACTCCACAGTTCAGCCAGGACTCACCAAATACCAAAGCTAGACACACTCTGGGCATCAGAGTGTCATCGGACGTCACAGATCTGTCTTCATCATCTGCCAAAGATCAAACTTCACAAGGAGCTGCTGCTTTGCCAGTCCATGGCAAAGAATCCACTGGTCTGGTCTTAAGTCCCTCACAGACAGTCCTGTCCCAGCTCCTGATACACGATGCTGAACAGAAACAGAAGGCGTTTAATACGACAGTGTTTGACTGTGGTGTGTGTTTTGTGGGCTGGCCTGGTTCAGAGTGTGTTCAGTTGCCAGAGTGTGGTCATGTCTTCTGCCAGGCTTGTCTGTCTGAGTTCTGCAGGCTACGGATCACGGAAGGAAACGTCCACGCTGTCACCTGCCTACAGACAGACTGCAGGACCATCCCCACCCCTGCACAGGTACAGTGCCTCCTGTTGGTGGGTGTCACTGTGGATTTTAAAGTTTTAAATATTGTAAAAGATTAGGAAAATTAGTGTTTAATTTTTATGATTATAGAAGTGAACAAAACATTTTGATACAAAGCAAACAAACAAACAAAAATATATATACAGTAAATATACTTGGTAATATGCACACCTTCCTTCACAGCTTACTTTTGCCTACATTGTGATCACCTTTGTACCTTGTTCACAAATCTTCCACGTTGCTGGCGGCCAATCCCCAACATTCCTTGACACACACCTACTGTACACCAACTACAGTATTTGTCCTTAGCACATGTCCAAACTAATTTAAGTTTAGCTTAGCTTTCTGTGCCTGTATCACTGTCTTTAAGTCAAAAATGATATAGTTGTCAAACTTGGGACCTGGGCTTGTAAAACCATTAACTGTGAGCTGAATGGCGGGTCAATTATTTTTTCCTCACACATTTCTTGACACTTCAGACAGAGAAACGAACTTTGTTAAACTCTAATGAGCAAATACACAAGTTAAAGCACAAGATTAGTGCCTGTAACTTGTCAAATGTCTCATCTTTTTTCCTCTCTCTCTCCTTTCTGTGTTGAAGGTCAGAGATTTGGTTGGTGATGAGCTGTTTCGCCGCTACGATCGCCTCCTACTGCAGTCATCTCTGGACCTCATGTCTGGTGTGTCTTTTCATCATCTGGTCCTATGGTACACGGAATGATAAAAAGACATGAAATAAAGATTTGTTTGTTCTTGAATACATGCAGATGTGACGTACTGCCCTCGCAAAACGTGTGGTTCTCCAGTCATCGTAGAGAAGTCCAGCAACGCCGCTTTGTGTTCTGTCTGCAACTTTGCCTTCTGTGTCACCTGCAAAAAAACCTACCATGGAACTAACGACTGTCAGACCAAGACAAACGTGAAGAATCAGATTCAAGAAGACCCACAGCAGGGCACTGTTGACCTGCCACAATCACAAGGTGCAAGCTGATATCTGTGTATTTGTGCGTGTTTGTTTCAGGACTCCTCCTCAACCCTCAGTATTTTTTTTTTAATCAACCCCATTTGCCGTGTCTTCCATAGAGGGAATGAAGTCTCTGATGGAAGACTACTTGGGCGGCAGCAAAGAGAGACAGCGCCTCCTGCTGAGCAGATATGGTTACCAGTCCTTTAAGGTGATTCTGCCAGACTATCTAAGCGAGGACTGGATCACTGTTGAATGCAAACACTGTCCTCACTGTTTCTGCAAAATACAGGTATGAACCTTTGACCTTTTATTACCATTTTTGAAAATTAGAAAAACCCAAATTTGTATATTTAAACTATAGAAAAAAACCAGTGAAGTTAGTGAAGTGCTAAGAAAACAAAAACAACAGAGCTCTAAAAATGGCACAGCTCATAATGTGTTAAATGTTAAAACATTTATTCTTTTGAGATCATCAGCTTATATAGAGTACCCTACTGTTCATGTCAAACACAGTGAGTTATTCATCTTTTTAAGTGATCTTTCCCTCCTTTCTCCCTCCCTCTCTCCATTTTTTTCTCTGCTAATATTCTTGCCATCGTGTCCTATGCTGCAGAAAAATGGAGGATGTAACATCATGACATGCTCTCGATGCAGACAGCGTTTCTGCTGGCTTTGCCTCAAAAGGCTGTCCTTCCCTGTAGATAATGGTCACTTCGAGATTGGCACCTGCACTCAGTATAGCTATTGATTAGTCACCAACACCACAGAGACAACAGAGTCAACATCCTTTGCACATGTAATATATAGTCAACACCTGCAGCTGCTAATTCTCTTGAAAAAAAAATACAGTAATGTAATCTAGTCAGTGCAAATCATTTACAGTACAATGAGAATAAGATTATTATTTATACAGAGGGGAAATTTTCCACATTCATTTTGCACCTGAGTGTGCACTGTATGAAAAGCAGAAATGTTGTTAAAAACTGCACTGACATGTACAGTGAAATTCTTTTTAATAATAAACACTAGTGACTAGGAGTGAGATCTCCTGAGCACCCTGCAGGTTCCACAGTGTAACAACAGGCGAAGATCAGACCTTCTCAACTGTAAGTGCATTTGTTTTTAAATAACTAAAATATAACATTTTGTTGAATTTTAAATGTGAGGTGTTGTTTTATCTAGTCTCTCAGAACAATGTTTATAGTATTTAATGCACTGGAAAACCCCCAGGTGCTCCCAGGCTTCCCCAGATCATATTATTATTATTACTAATATTATTATAAAAACAACAATAATAAAAATTATTATTCGGTTTCGCCCACGCAAATTTATTTCCGGTACACTCGTAGATAATGGATGAATATAATAATTTCTCTTCAACGCTAAAATATACACCATATGTAATACTCTCTTATGAACAGCAGATGGCAGAAAAATGTTGACTTTTGGGAAATACTTCAACCATGGTCAGAGCAGTGGAAGCCAGGAAATGAGTAAAAAACCTTGGAAAAAATCGTCAATTTCCTTTTCTGTTTTCCCTCTAAAAATAAGTGAGCCGTATGCCAGTTTAAAAGCATACGATGCAGATTCAGTGAAATAATTAGCAAATGAGCTGCTCTTTGTATCATCTTCATGTTTATTCATCTCTGAAAACACACATACACACTCCTGTATATGTCAGGGGAAATCAGTGTCGCAGTCATCCGGTGAGTGTACAGTGGTTTATTGGCAACGTTGTCCGGAGGCACTGGAAGTGTGCTGAGGTTTTTGTACAAGTAAGGGAGGGGGGTTTATACCATCCAGCGGGGTCGGGGGGGGGGGCGGAAGGGAAGGTGGGGGCCTGAATCTAGAACGAGTGAGTCAGTCTATGAAACAGGGTACAAGGTAAGACAAGACTAATCTATTACTTAGTACCTGAGTACCAATGGAGAATGGCAATGACCTTTAATAAATTACAATTTTATTCACTTCAAATGCCTCTGAACATGCACAAAAAACAATTGTGAAAATTTGTACAAAATTTAGAAACATTGTAAAATTTTCCTCTACCGTTTTTATTATTAGTTGTCCTGGAAAAAAAAATGGCTTTGACACCAACATTAAAAGTCTCGGGTGCACCATACCAGGATCGTCACGTGCATCGCTTAGAAACAAGCTAACCAGTTTGTTGGAGCAATATTCAAATACCATCAGGAAGTTGGATATTGCGAGTTTTGTCTGTCAATTTCTTACTCACAGCAAAGTCACAACAGCCAATACTCAAGTCTATAATGTTGAATTAAATTTGTTTACTTCAGTCTCGCGATACGGTTTATGGGAAGGTCTTTGTCAGACCATCACATCCAAAAGTCCAGGCCTCAAATTCACTTTTGCATGTGATTATTCCATAAACTACAACCTACAGTACTGTAATCAGCTCTTTCAGTGTCTTTACTCAGAGCTGCTTCCTTTTCTTCCTGTCTTAGTTGATATGGCTGTTCTCTTCCTGACCGTTAGTCTTCGATAAGAAGAACTGTCAGGACTGTGTGGTCATCAGGAAATGCAGCTGCCCGCCCTTGAAAATTCTTATAACTTAATATATAACTTAATACAGATAATATTTTGTGGTGAAGCTAAACCTTACTAAAACAATAAATGAAGTTACTCGAGTTATTAGATTTCAATATAGATTATAGTGTCATAGCTTTGTCTCACAGTCCTGCAGTCCAACATGTGGGTCAACTCACAGCATTACAAATATGACACACGCACAGACCACAGATTCAACTCCTCACGCTGTAAACAACAGAGTAAAGCTTTTGAAAGGCAAACAGTAGCAACAGGTTTACAATGCATGCTTGTCTATTGTCCTCATAACAACACTATCATTTATAATCAGTACAAAACCCGATAGCCGACCCAGACCCGTTCTGTAAATTCCCAACAACGTTCCGATATTTCCAACATATTAATGGACAAAAGCTCAAAATCTTTTTTTTTTGAGCAATAAAACCTAACACTCGGACAGTAGTAAAGCATGACATGCACAGAGAGAAACCACAAGTGTGTCATACAGTACTTTTACATGAATCTCTCAAACTTGTTTAACAGCAGGAAAAGTCACAATTATCAATTTATTATAAAAACAACTATTCAGGTTTTAAAGCAAAAAAAAAGAGAAAGAAAAACACAACAGTAATTTTATTGGAAATTAGTCACTGAACACTAATTGCCAAATTAATAAACATTTTAACATCTCTTTCACTAACATTCACTCTTTTGTGCAGTAGACGGTCGTAGCATTTACGTTGCAAAAGTCAAGATTAGGTGCCAAAGGTGAGGAGTGTTAGTCAAAACCTACAGTGAAGTGATGCTAGTCCTCCATGGAGTAAGCTTAAGTTTATACATCCTCCAGAAGGTGGCCTCATTGCTATCTCTGCCACTAAATACTAATTGTGACCAAGTTCCAGATCTAAGTATCTCTTCCTCCATAGATTTGTTTTGCAACCCAACAGCACCGTCCATTTTTTTGCTTTTACAATCAGCTTACGTTAAAACCTTCTTGTTGTTCAGATCTATTGCAGAACCAAAAGCTATTTCTCCTTAAGGTATTTGAATGGATTAATTAACATTAATATAGCCGTGTTCTAATGAATTTGATAGAAAAGTAACAGTCTTTGGTTGAGCTCACTGTATAAATCATGTCCAACTCATGGAGACATAAATGAGGAAAATGGATCAAAGGTGCTTTTCTGGTTTGGGAAATTGCTTTGATAAAATGAACAGTTAGCCAATAGGAAAATTAGTACTTAACTTATTACTCTATACTGGATACTAAGATTTCTGCCAGTACTGGTTGTGCGCAGAACTCTTAGCCCCTGCTCAAAATATCACGACAAGTGCTATGCAACGTGCAGGAATTTCTTACAGGACAACATTCTGTATGTTATATATATATATATATATAGTACTAATTTATCAATATTCAGCATCATTATTAAGGCTCATCATCTTAGATTCTGCTTGGCTTTAAACTGTCAACAACAATACGTGTTATAGGAAATTCATTTCCTATTTTTCCTAATAAACTTAAACAACATGTCTATAAAAATTCTGGAATATTCCTACCTCCTCTGGAATACCGATTGTTTTGTAACCCTTATCAACCAAGTCACCGGGTTAGGGTTAGTGTTGTCCTGTTTTTGGATCGTGACTGGTAAATCCTGGAGCTTTTGAAAAATAATATGCTGCTTTCATGTGGACACTGATTGTTATCACAGGGAGGTTACTGTAAGAGTGCTAATAAAAGACTGCAAGTCTATCTAATGGGAAAACCTCCTGAAATGAGCCTCACCCACGGCTTTGGTGAGAGCTTTGCTTTCATCACATCCTCTTTGTTCTTTTCAGCATGAACAATGCAGCACAGTGGGCTGATGAAACAGCTGGGGATTTATTAAGCTTTTATTATTTAAATGCTTTTTCTCAAACTCTCTTAAACTGTTTTTAAAAACACAGTATATCGTCCTTAGTGCCATTCACCTGGCTCTACTCGTGTGTGTGTGTGTGTGTGTGTGTGTGTGTGTGATCACATGTATTTGTGCTTTAGAGAAATAAATGAACGATGTACACAGCAACCTCTCCCTGCGGCTAAACCAGCCGCCCACGAGGCTGCTTTTATTTCACTGTAGCATGCACTCAGACATGTGACCCCATCAGGCCTTCCACAGATTGAATTATGTAGAAGTGTGTTAAGTGTGTGTTTGCTGTTTCGCTGAAAATCCCAGGAAAGCAGGTTTATATTAACTGGGGAGACCTTGAGAGCATTTCTGAATGAAATCGAAATGAAAAAAAAACAGCAACGAATGCCAGTGTTTCTTATGTAGAGGCGAATATTGACCAGTGAGTAAATACTGTAGCTATCAATAGAAAGGACAACAAAGACCTTTTTGTTTTACTTTATAACTGCTTTTGAGTGCAGCTGTTAAAGGCACAAAACACACGTTACCGTAATGTCACAAATTTGAACAGCCTCTGTTTTATTGTAAAATTTAATTGTGAGAGTGCCCTGTGGTGAAGGTTTGACCAAAATCTAAGAGAATCTAAACTGATTATATAATAATAATAATAATATAATGTTCTTTTCAGGAACACTGAAAACAAATCAAATGGAAAAAAAAACTAGCCAAAAAGGCTCTAGACTATAAGTTGCACTTTTTTTTATCCGTTGGCTGGGTTTGCGACTTATACTCAGGTGTGATTTCCATCCATCCATCCATCCATTCATTTTCATCCGCTTATCCGTTACCAGGTCGCGGGGGCAGCAGTCTCTATGACCGCCACCCATCACACTGCACCGTACCAACCCCCTGAACCTTCCTGTGGGTGGTGAGTCCACTGGAAGTTTTTTTATAACACACCTTCGTGAGCTCAACACACAAATGGCAACAACCACATCAGCAGCTTTTACCCGGTGATGATTGATACCACAGTGACATGTGTGTTAAGTGATGCAGTGTATGGGCGGACCTCAGAGGAAACACACACAAACGTACAAGGCTGACACTCACACAATCACTTAGCTTATACAAGAGTCCTGAAACTTATTGAGCAGATAATAAACAAGTATTTACAGAATTCCCTATGATGACATGGACTACAACAGTCAGTGGTGTTCATTCTGGTCATATTCTGTAATAGTGTTAGAATATCTATATTGAAATGTCCAGATACTTTCACAAGGATTCAGTTGAAAAGAAAAAAGATTAGGCTAAATATAGAAAAACAGCAAACACCTTAGACTAGATTCTGTTATTTATTAAATAATTCCTCCAAAGGCACAAATGAAGCCTTTTGCCTGATAGAAATCCAAAAGAACACGAAGATATTAACTAAAGCTACCACATTCATCTAAAGACTACTCTACCTCGACCAGACCATTGTGCTTTGATTTTCCTGGTGTTTTTGTTTTTTGTTTGTTTTTTTTTTGACATTTTATCGCCTCTCTCTCTCCTTCTAAAGATGGTCCCTGCTGCAGGGCTTCTAGAAATCCCTTTGTAGGGTGTTTTATCTCAAATGCAAGGGTGAGAAATGTTCTCTCTTTGTTTCTCTGGCTTTTCCTCCTTCCATTCACATCTACACTAAGGACTTTTTTTCTCACTTTGCTCATGTATCTTGTACCTTTTGTCCTCTTCAGTCCCTGTGCGCCGCTTGTCACTTCCTGAAGCCAAAACACGCTGGAGATTTCCCCTCAATTCATTTGTATTTACACATATCCTGTTGGAAGCCAACCCACTCAAAACCTCGGCTGGAAGCTGAGCCAAAGACTGACTAAAAAAACAGAAGTGATATCTGTGTGTAACAAGAAATTAGTGTGAAATAAAGCTGGATATGGTTTAGCGGAAGGACTGTTCATGAATAAATAACACAAAAGAAGCGTCGCAATAAACCAAGGCTGTATTACTGTACCTTAAGTACAAAAGCCACGCCCCACTTCCTCGTCTGTGTGTCCCTTTAGCTGTAGCCCAGGTTCTCCATCTCATGGCGGTACCTCAACTCCGAAACTTTGGCTTTGTGCTGCTTGCTCTCCAGATGCTGCCTGAAGTCCGTCTCCTGCTCAGCTCCACAGTTGCACATGGAGCAGTAGAACTGTCCACTAGGAGTCACACACATGGCCAGGTCCCGGGGGATACGCTGCCTCGGTCTGGGGTTGTAGTACGGCCCTGGAGGGGGAAAAAAGGAGGTACAAGTAGCTATGTATTAGGAATCAACAAACAACAACAACAATTGACTTTTTCTCCGTTTGCTGTTTTTCATACTTTGTCCATAATGAATGAACCACACTGACTTTGTCACGACATTTCAACCCTATATTTCAGGTGATTTGAGGATCGATACAAATCCAGCTGTGTGTCTCTGTATCCCAACACTTACATATCACCTTAATCCCAACCCCAACCCCTGATGAATGAGATATTTGCACCAGAAAGAGAACCTTCAATACTAGGTAGGAGACAGTGAGACTGAAAAATGCTTAGATCAGTATCACAGCCCACACCTGATATGTGGTGGTGAACCAGAGACACTGCAGTTTTTCCTACAGGTTTGTCTACTGAGGAAACAGAATAAATCAGCAGAATGTTTTGGTGCTTGAGTGGTTCTGCATTCCAGTGAGAGAGGTTAGAAACAGATTTTTTTTTTTTGGCTTTTCTGTGTGTTTGTTTATACAGAACTGCAAGGCAAGTGTCTGAAGGTGTTAAAAGGACACTGTGTGAAACACGGCAGTGAAGACAAGGCTCTTTGACATAAGCACAAAGTCTGACGTTACCGCGTCTGTATCTGTTTTCAGACACACACACCAGCCACATGGTGGAACTGTGGTTAATTCTCTTGCCTTACAGCAGTACTTCTCAAATAGTGAAGCGGGGGCATGAGGGGCTTCCAATGGAATATGGCACGCTGGACACAGGTGTACCACTGCTGTAATACCTTAATGATAACAAGGTGTAGTAAAGGTGTAAATTGTGTGTAAACTGAGACTGTAAGATTATTGTTTCTCATTACATGTTCTTTTTCTGACATTTTTTTCTGAAATTACTGTGTGTTGTTTTTTCTAATGTAAAATATGTGCTTTGGCCTAAAAAAGGTTAAAAAACAAAAAAAAAATAATAATGAGAATTTTCAAGAAATGTGGACGTATGACTAGATGAAGGGAATGACTGGATTGCTGACACTAGTTGTTTACATTTGTAGCCTAGTTTACACAGTTCTTATGTCTACAGCAAATAACAACAAACCCTGTGACAGACAGAGGTATTACATCGTAAATGTTATTCTGATTCTGAGTCTCTCTCAATTGTATTTCACCTGGCATGGCAGCAGGAAGCTGTGGGCTGCGACGGTTTTTCACCAGCTTGTACTCACTGCCATCTTTCCTGCTTCTCCTTGTGGCTGCTTCACTGTTACCGTCCCTGCATCAGACAGAGCCATAAACACTTCAGGTTGATCCAACGGGCAATAAATCTCATGTATCTGGACTTGGTATTTGTAGTGATGAAAAGTAACTTTTACTTAATCAAGGTGATTATACAGAATGGGCTGAAGAGAGATTTAAAGATACCAAACCTTGAGATAATGCTGAATTAACCTACATGTTAGTGGAGTTCTGTTGGGCTTCTGCGAGTCGAAGTTTCTTAGCATGGTTCTTGCCCTGGTAATGGGCCTGTGCAACTGCTGGTGAACTGAAGGAGGCGTCACACAGCTTACAATAGTCGTTCTCAGTGGCTAAGATGACCCGGGTCGCCCCCTTATACAGCGCCTGCAGAAACAGGATGAAGCAGAAGCAGTGAGCAACAAGAAAAAAGTGAGAGAAAAACGCTGTGTGCTGGTGGGATGAAGAAAGACAGCACTTTCTGAGACTCAGCAAATAGTCCCAATGTATCCACTGGTAACAGTAATTCAAAACTAAAATCACAATGTCATACATCTAATTTAAACTGTGAGCAAAAAAAACCCATTCAAAACACTATTGGGGTCTAAACCATCCAATGAAACCCATGACGTCTAATTATAATGTTAGTGATGTTGTCCGACAGAGACCCCTGGTCTATCCACATAGCTACCTGCCATCCATCCATCCATCCAACTAAATGTTGCCTTTGTCTGACTAATGTATGACTCTACTGAATAGAAAGTATATGCATCTATACAGTACATACATACATACATATACGCACACATACACGTAAGAATGTCAATCTGAAAAATAAGGCAGACCGAACATTCTTTTCAAAGTGCGATTAGACTGAAATAAGCCAGCAAATGGTTGACTGCAGAGAATGATGCAAGCTTCACTGTGTAGGGAGAAACAAGTACCACTTCCTCAGAGAGGAACACTCAGCAAAGCAGCTCCCTCAGCAGCAGCAGCAGCAACAGCAGCGGCAGCAGCAGCACCTCCACCTCTTGTTACATGAAATGACACTTGGTTGCTGAGTTTTGAGTCTGACCTGTCTGCCTGCATCACTGTCACTGGATCCTGAGTTGAGCCCAGTCTGTCCAGTCCCATCAAGGACATCTGGGATCCTAATGGCTGGTGGCTGTTGACTGCCAGCGTAGAAGTTTCTCAACTTTTTACCGTGGTTCTTTCCCTGCACAGACAGAACAGAAAAATAAAATATGCTTTTTTTTCTTACTTATACATTTCACATGTTCCACCTGAGCAGTTGAGTGCCAGCTTGGACTCACCTGGTAGTGAGCCTGAGCCTGCTGAGCCGAGTTGAGTGTAACATTGCAGAGTTTGCAGTACAGAGGTTTGCACAGTTCCTCCAGTCCAAGAGAATCCTCCTGGTCATCCACCCCCAATGAAGAGATGTCATCTTGTCTCTGCTCACTGACTGAAGTAGTCTGGACTAGATGATGACCAGGACTGAGTCCAGTCATTGAGGAGTGGATAATAGGTGGTCCAGAAGACCGGGGTGGTAGCTGTGAAGGGTCTGGCATCGGAACAGGTGGGGATGATAGAGGACTGGAAGGTAGAGGGAATCGGCTAGCACCACATGTTACTACAGGTGGAGGAACCAATGCCTGTGTAGGGGTCAGGGGTGGAGGTCCCAATGGCTGTGTGAGGTCCATATTCGGAGGCACTACTGCTTGTTTGAGATCTATAGATGGTGGTCCAAAAGTGTGTGGAATTGGAGGGGGCCTGAGAGGCTGAGCTGGGGTCAGTGAAGGAGGACCTAAACTGTGGGGAGATGTGATGGGAGGAGGCCTTAATGAGTGAGGAGCACTTATAGGAGGAGGCCCCAGAGTCTGTGGGGGAGCCATAGCTGGGTGTCCAATTGCCTGAACTGGCGCCATAGGTGGGGAACCAAGAGCATGTGGAGGTCCCAGCTGGTGTAGAGAGTCCAGGTGTTGGAAAGGCTGCTGATGATGGCTAAAGAGACTTAGAGGGGGCTTCAACATGTTGTCTGGACCTGTGGACACCAGTGAAGGTGAAGGAAAGAAACTGATCAGACACGTTTAAACACCAGATTTATTTACCACCAAGATCATTTTAGTTGTATCTCTGTGGGCCTCACCTTGGCTTACTTTTAAACTAAGAAATTGTGTAGGCCACAGTGAATTATCAGTTACCTATGTTTTCACATTGTGCCCCGGGCAGATGGAACCTCTTAAAATATCAGATGGTTTCCATATTATTGTGAATGAAGTCAAGGCGATCACTCTTCACTTTTATGCTTTAATAAAGTAAAACAAACAACACCATAGGTAAATATAAAAAAATATGACCAATATGGGGAAAACTAACGCCAAGAAATCCTCTAAGCCCTGAGGTCTTAGCAAAATACAGAGATGGGTGCATGGAAACATTCTGGGACAGATGAGCAGCAGTGGGGCATCTAACAGATTAAGCTAAGCCTATATGACAATACAGCCACACACAGTGACAACAAACTACGAAAGCCTCTCTGATCCACAGAGATCACTGCCTGAAGTGCTACAAGGGTTGATGTGGGTTCGTATTTGCATGGATGCATCAAAAAAAAAAAAAAGAAAAAAAAAAAAGGAAGCACAATTCAAACAGCTCCTTGTGTTGTGTTTATTTGTGCCACTTGACTGCTCCATTATATTTGTCCTCACATTTGTGTCTGTGCAACTGTGTGTGTGTGTAGACTGGCAGCTGAGCTAAGAAACTCACTGCACCGGGTGCTTTCATCTGGAATCCAATCGGACGCCCAATGGCTGTGATTCACAGATCAAAAATAACACCACGGGGTGTTTGTGTTTCCAACTGCTGCTCACTGTCGGTGTGTGTGTTGCGTCTAACCCGATGCCCGTCTGTCACCTCATCGCTTGACTGACCTCAGGATAAAGGTATGCCAGATAGAGCACTGACCTTACTACACTGCTGTCAACTGCAAGATGACACTGTCAGAATGAAGTGTTGCCCCCACAGTAGTCAGGCCATAACTTAATAACAGTTTTCATTAAGATACATAAAGGTTTCACTGCCCACAGGCAGTGTGAAATATTTTAATATACATTCATTTCATACATTTGAGTGCAGGCTTTTACACTGGCCCTTCCAGGTTGGTGCTTTAAAGAGAAAGTCTGTTTTTGACATATACTGCAGTGGTACTGACTGAGTCATCAAATACTGTCAGTGGAGAGAAAAAAACCATTTGTTTCAACACAGACTCAGTTGTCCCACTGATTTTGAGTACAGCGTAGGTGTAAAAGAGCTAACTGTATTATATTTTCAGCCTGTACGTTCTGCTTTTTAATAAGCCCAACATATCCTTACAAGTTATGTGTAACATTAACAAGGTGGTGACGAGACAGAATACTTGGTGAATTTAACAACAGAACTAAACCCTGGTAATGGAACACCTGCAATAAAGTACAGAATACACTCAACAGATATAACTGATGTACGATGTCCTTAACGAGGATATGTTTCACTAGGACTGTTTACTGCACTGACCTCCTTTATCTCGTCATTAATGGCTTACTGCACATGTGCACTTATTTTAGGTCGTTTGTCAAGTTATTTTTATAATTTTTAGCTGTGACCTTTCTGTGCTTTTAACGTAAGGATTCAGTGTTTTTGAGCCAAGGTCAGATTTTTTTCCAGCTCCTTAGGGACAGAGATACAGGACCAAATAGTACACACTACTGCAATACTACACATTTGCCCCATAGATGTGGATTTTTGCTGCAAAGTCAAAACAAACAACTTTGTTGTTCTACATCATTGTTTCAGACCTGATTCCAAGTGCTTTACAGTGATACATAATAATACTGAAATGAATTAAAGAAGCAAAGGGGATATTTGTGGATACAAAACATTTTTCATGGTCTTTTTGGTTCAAAGGTTATTTCTAACCTAAATAAAAATAAACCAAAGTAGAGCTCAGGGCAGTAAGGAGTTATTGCCCTGGGCTCCAATAAGCTCATGGCCCCTTTAGGAATCATTAAATAGGCCAAGTGTTCATTTTCTCTAGAGTTTCTCTCGCTGTATTGTGTGGTTTCACATCAATTATAAAGCATTGGGAAGCACATGCCTCCTGCACTTATTCTGTTCTGCTTCACCGGGCACTGGACAAGCACTGGACGGGCCAAGAACAAATATCAGTGACTTTTACATCATGGGAAAATGTCCAAAAATACAAACTGGTATTCTTCAAGTTTGCTTTTAGTTATTGTGTGTGGCAGTTATTACAACATAAATGATCAAATATTTATGTCTTATTATCAAACACCCACTCTTGTGCTTTATCTTCCATTCTTATCAGATTAAGAGCAGTGAAGGCACTGAAATGGACATTGTGTTCTTGAAGAACACGACTAGGAGTCTTAAACACAAAAGAAAGGGTCTATTGATGTTTTAATCAATACGTAGCAATGGTTTTCTATAGACTCCCAATTATAAAGAGATACATCTTAAATTCCTCATGCCCACTGTAGTGGTCTCTCAGGGAATCAAACCCAGGACTCTCTGCTGACAGGCGTGCTAACCGCATTGCTATAGAAGCACATATTATGCACACAATGCTGTTACATAGATGTACACGTGCACACAATGCTGTTATATAGATGTACCTTATTGATCCCAGGCTGGACGGGCGTGCACACAATGCTGTTACATAGATGTACCTTATTGATCCCAGGCTGCGAAATAAATTTAGTAATAAAGGCACTGCTAGCATTTAAACCCAGGATCCCCTGTTTACTAGACAGGCACTTTAACCAACTAAGCCACAGCACCTGATGATGATGCCCACTGGGAGGTCAAGTCACAAACCAACCGTACCAGAGGTCTTGCGTCAACATAAGGTCTTTGAACTCTAGGGGATCTGCATAGGTACTGCAGGTTCTGCAAATTTTGATTTATGAGGCCATTTTTTAAAATGTATTTTCCCTCACAATTTTTTCCACAAATGTATATCTCTTTAATACACCATAATTAAACAAGAGCTTTATTTTAAGGGGTCACTGTTCTATCCCTCCATCAGTTTGAAGGTCCTTAAAAAAGCTCTATTTGTTCACTTAAAGACTTTGTGTCTTTCATTGTACTTTACCTCAAATTTTCATCTAAACTGCATTCTGTTTTACAATGCTAAATTTATTATTTTAAAGATGACTGGATACTACTCAATCAATTAATCAAGATGTTTTTTTTCCCGAAATTTAAAAATCTGCCTGCCTTTCTATAGAACTACATAAACATGGAATTACTTCCAAAAACAATTTGAAGAGCCTGCAATTCTTTTATTTAGTCTATGGTCAATTAAATGAGAACAGCTGGGGGCCCTCTTTCTGGGGCCACTGCGCAGATGCAAGACAGAATCACTTGAGTGTAATTGCCACATGTCACCATCAGCTGTGTAGGAGCAGCCCCTGATGATTCAGTTTCTATTTCTTCACTTGCTGTGACCACCAGAGATTGACTGCCTCAGAATGGAGTGATGAAAAGTCAGCATTGCTTTGAGGCTATGTCCTGCTTCATGTTACAGACAGACATCAGATCAAACCTGCTCTTTTCTTCCCTCCTTCCTTTCTTTTCCTTCTCTCCGTGAGGCATTAGACAAGACAAGAAAGAGGCATAGACTAAACCTTTCTCGACCCTAGATTTTGCATCGCAGCATCTACACTGACCCAAGCTACTGTTATCTCCCTCTCACTGTGACATGATGTGGATGACAAGCTCCACATTTGACGGTTCGGAGCCACATCTGCAAATGTGTGCAGTTCGGGTTTGCTCCATCCCTGCACCTTAGCGCACATAAGACTGCTGACAGTTCAGTTCGGCCACTCAGGAGGGAGGGAGGGAGGGTAGAGCTCATCATCAGCACCAGCAGCATCATAATATAATACATTATTATTTCTCTCTTACCTGCCAGTTGGCTGAGATAATGGCTGCTGCCACCGTAGCTGACCGGCGGTGAGGTGTAGTTCCTGCAGTATTCTGCACTGTGGTAAAACGCTGCATCCCCGCTCTTTAGCTGCATCATCGCACTCACATCTCCTCTTCACCAACTTCTTCTCTCCCAGAAAAAAACGAGCGGTCAGCCAGGATGACAGCCGCGACCACACGCTCCGACACAAACCACCAGGGGGAGGGGTACCTTACACAGACCTAAACTATAACCCGCCTCCGAGAAACTACGGCCATTTCCTAATTCTTAAAAAAGGAGAAGTAAAATGTGATTGCAAACAAATTTTCAATGTCAATATTTCAAGCGTCACGAGGAGAATTTAAAACCTAGTGCCAAGTTAGGTTCAGGTTCCCCCTCTGCCTTTTGGTACGGTCCACTTCCGATGCCACTGCTTCTGATTTGCATGGGTGGCAATCATGACACTGTGTATAAATATATGTCGCACCCCCGTAGTCCGCTACTGGTAATTTAAACGCTTCAAATCTGCTGGGAAAACATAGGAGTAAACACTTCATAATCAAGGCGTTAATATGGTATGAACAAAACACAGGGGGATAAACAGACAGCTGCCAGTGTAATATGAACACAACTGCCTTTAAAAGTGGTTCTTCAAAATAGACCATGCAGATACAAAAAAAAAAAAAAAAAAGAATGGGGCGGGTGCAGTGTTATTCAAAGGTACTTGTATAAAGCATTTTACAAGTATATGCTGTGTTAATTTGCAGCCCTCCCCTCATTCCATTCCTCTGTGACAGGGAAGAAATATTAAGTAAAAAATTGACCAACCAGAAAAGGGGGTGAAGTTGTAACTAAAGGCCTATGTAATGTTGCAAATATAGCTGCATGGGTTTGGGTTTTCTGAGCTGAATCTAGTAGGTTTATTAACCACAGGTATAAGCAGTGCTAGTCCCAACCAACAGGATGCTGGAGGGAAGATTTTTTTTTAGGTGGCATCCCCCATGCAGCTCAGTCTGTCGGACCAACCATTGGATGTTGTGAATAGGTCACAAAATACCACCAAATATCGATAAGACTAGAGAACTGGTTTTCAAAGTTTTAGCACCATCATTGCACCAACCACAATGACTTCACCTGCCACAGCGGCAACCACCACCTCACCAACTGTATGAACAGCACTGATGACACAGCCACACAGTAACTTCAACAACCATGTGCCAACCACAAAAACCAAGCACCTGCACAGACTACAACAGCCACTCTGGTGATTTTTAAGTAAATATCTACTGTAATAGGCATGGTTGCTTTGGTTATATTTGCTCAATGACTAAAAAAACAAGTCTATCAATATATCTACAACACATCGGCCAGTCATAGAGAAGTTTTTCTATTGTTTATTTCTTTTTCTTTTTTTTGTCATTTTCATAATGGCTTTCTTTCTTTCTCTCTCTCATTTTAGAAGCAAGGACATCATTTAAATTTGCCAGATGACCAAAAACACCCAAATGCTGAACACACCTGCACAAAGTTAGTCGCTAAAAACATGGCAGTAATAACCTATACACACTTACTCTAACTTAGGGCCTTTAAAGGCTACCATAACACTGATGCTAAAATGACCTATTATGTTTTAATATAACACCCAGGATGGTAGAATATTACTTTCTGTGATCCTATAACGATCCTATAAACGCAAACAAGGGGGAGGAAGTTTCTGTAATTCCTTGTTTTTTCTTTCAGTAAATTACATCGACTATCTAACTAGCCATAATCCTTTTTTTAACTCACAAGAAACAACATAGTGTGTGTCTTTATAATAATAACAATAATGGTGAGGGTTTTTGTGGCATGACATTGACATTCGAGTGATATACTACATTGTTTCATTGTCAGTTATACTGTGTATTGTTTGTATGATTGTTTAGGGTGTGTAGAGGAAGGGAGGAGGGCCACAGACAGGGGCAGACAGACAGACAGACAGACGGATAGCAGCGTGGCTGCTTTGTCGCAGCAGCAGCAGGACAACTTGTCCGCTTCACCACAACCACCAGCAGCAACAGCAGTAGCCGTTGCTCACACCATCCTCAGGTCGAGCCCTTGTCACCGGACATGCCTTTATTTTCTGTCACACCTCAAAACCACGGCGTTGAAGGAGGGTTCGTGTTCGCCGGGCAATAACGGCTGCAGTTACGGGTATCCGGCCAGGGGAGACCAAGAGGTACCAGACGGGTTAAAAGGCTGCTGTTCTGTCCGGCGCCGGAATCCTCCTCCATCCCCGGGAGGTGCCTCCAGCTCCGACCGCGGCTGATAGAGTAGGCGTCGGCAGGCGAAGCTAAGTAGCGTTAGCCTGGAAGAGCCTTTCACAGCAGCATCCTCACACACTCCCCTGCCTTAACGCAGACTCTAAATGGTACGTTACTATACAAACGGCTTATTGTCATTTAAGTAAACAATTTGTAATTTTGAATGTCTTAGATATATATATATTAAAACGAGAATAACAGGTTCAGTACTAGCAACCAGCTAACATACAAGAGAAATAGAGTTAATATTACTCATTGAAAAACTGAGGGTCATTGATACAAAAAGATTTTTATTAACGCAGTAATTTGGTCGGTTTAATATAAAATTATTTAAAATACATAAATGTTATTTTATTAAGAGGACACATCGTTATCGTGTAGCTGTCATCCCTAAAAACAGCCACCGTTAGCAGGACCTCTGTTAGCCAGTTGTTATGGTAGTGTTATTTCTTATTTTCTTTTTCTCTAAATTGACATTTCAGTGACAGCGAGGATGGACTGAAAATGTCCAGTTGTCAGTGTGAGAGGATTTTTCTCTAAGGTATGTTTCACTATCTCTCCATCTGAATCCACATGTTCACCATGACAGTGCAGCAGACACACACTGAAGATAACAAATGTTGTCATGTTTGTTTGTAGCTGACAGCTGTCATGGAAAGACGAAGTCACAAATGATATGTTTGCTCTTTGTGACCACTACGTTGTGTAATGTATTCTGCAGTGACCAGTAAATAGTGGTTTGTTGTTGTAACAGGGTATATGTTGAAAGCCCTCAAAGAGCACAAACCTTTGGCAAGGATTCTATGTTTCCCTCAGTGTCAACACCATAGACTATATATAAGCAAAGGACAAAAACAACACCAACTCTTAGTAAAGCCCGCACAGCGTGGCTGCTTTGTCGCAGCAGCAGCAGGACAACTTGTCCGCTTCACCACAACCACCAGCAGCAACAGCAGTAGCCGTTGCTCACACCATCCTCAGGTCGAGCCCTTGTCACCGGACATGCCTTTATTTTCTGTCACACCTCAAAACCACGGCGTTGAAGGAGGGTTCGTGTTCGCCGGGCAATAACGGCTGCAGTTACGGGTATCCGGCCAGGGGAGACCAAGAGGTACCAGACGGGTTAAAAGGCTGCTGTTCTGTCCGGCGCCGGAATCCTCCTCCATCCCCGGGAGGTGCCTCCAGCTCCGACCGCGGCTGATAGAGTAGGCGTCGGCAGACGAAGCTAAGTAGCGTTAGCCTGGAAGAGCCTTTCACAGCAGCATCCTCACACACTCCCCTGCCTTAACGCAGACTCTAAATGGTACGTTACTATACAAACGGCTTATTGTCATTTAAGTAAACAATTTGTAATTTTGAATGTCTTAGATATATATATATTAAAACGAGAATAACAGGTTCAGTACTAGCAACCAGCTAACATACAAGAGAAATAGAGTTAATATTACTCATTGAAAAACTGAGGGTCATTGATACAAAAAGATTTTTATTAACGCAGTAATTTGGTCGGTTTAATATAAAATTATTTAAAATACATAAATGTTATTTTATTAAGAGGACACATCGTTATCGTGTAGCTGTCATCCCTAAAAACAGCCACCGTTAGCAGGACCTCTGTTAGCCAGTTGTTATGGTAGTGTTATTTCTTATTTTCTTTTTCTCTAAATTGACATTTCAGTGACAGCGAGGATGGACTGAAAATGTCCAGTTGTCAGTGTGAGAGGATTTTTCTCTAAGGTATGTTTCACTATCTCTCCATCTGAATCCACATGTTCACCATGACAGTGCAGCAGACACACACTGAAGATAACAAATGTTGTCATGTTTGTTTGTAGCTGACAGCTGTCATGGAAAGACGAAGTCACAAATGATATGTTTGCTCTTTGTGACCACTACGTTGTGTAATGTATTCTGCAGTGACCAGTAAATAGTGGTTTGTTGTTGTAACAGGGTATATGTTGAAAGCCCTCAAAGAGCACAAACCTTTGGCAATTCTATGGATTCTATGTTTCCATGTTTCTATGTTTCCCTCAGTGTCAACACCAGGATTCTATGTTTCCCTCAGTGTCAACACCATAGACTATATATAAGCAAAGGACAAAAACAACACCAACTCTTAGTAAAGCCCGCAGAAGAAGATTAGCAGCTGTGCTATGCTGTTTTTTAAGAACTGAGACTATTCATTGTCTATCTGCTAAAGCTTAATCCTTTCCAGGGTTGTGTTGGGGCCAAAGCCAGTCCTAGGAGTGACTGGGGGAGGGCGGGGTACATATGTGTGAGAAAATTAATCTCCCACTCACTTGATTAAAAATGACTCTGAAAATATATATGAATACTTTGAATGGAAAAAAATGTTTCAGGTTTAAAATGACATAAAAAAAACACTGAAAGATGCAGCGAATATTGTAAACAGGAACCGTATTTTGCAACATCAGCAGTTCACTTATCTATATTGTCACCCAGAACCACAATTGTATTGGACTGTTATGGTGCACTTCCTTGTCAGTTTCACATTAAGTCATATTTTAACAAAATAATTCTCGTATTCACTTGTGATTGTGACAGTTGATCTTGAAAGTGAATACTAAAAAAAGTAACTGCGAGATGGTATAATCAGTGAAGCAGTACAAGCTTCCTCTTAGTACACCCAAGCCTGAGCAAAGATTTAAATGAAAAAAAAAAATATTCAAAAACTGTAATTTTTATATATTATAATTTATCAGATCTGAACTTCGGTAGTAATTTATACCAAAGTGTATTACCTGTACAGTATGAAACTATAATACATAATACATAATGATTGTTTTTTGAAAGCCATGCTGACATGAATTTTAAAAATACTGCTTAAGGGTTAAAAATCTTAATCTTTTTTACAGTATATTTTCCCTCATTAAATTCTCTCCAATAAATAATTTAAATCCATTTATTTACTGTTTGCGTGCCACTGCTTATGAAAAAGCAAATGTCAGCGCATAACCTCTTTAGTCAACGTGTTACAAATGCACCAAATATCCAGGAAACATTAATTTAAATGAGGAACTGATTACTGAGAACTCACAGAAAAGCCTGGGTAAAAAAATGGCATACACTCCATATTTAAGGTGACCTTGACACCCTCAGGTCGTTTTCCAGATAAACAGGCTTATGAGAATGCAAAACTTGTCTAATGTAGGCTCCACCCCATACCACACAGTGATTACACTGTTAGGCTTTTTGTAAATGGGTGAGAGCAAAGGCTTCACCAACCATGAGCTGTGTGTCATTGAAAAGGACCGCACAAACACCAAGAACAACAATAACTCAGCCACAGCTGCTATTGACAGTCCTTCCAGTTAATTGTACAGTTGTGATTTGGTATTCAAAGCAAGCTTCTGTCTCAGCCAGTGTTTTCCCACTCCCCACATCCTGTGTTGCAAGGAAGCTTCCTCTTTTGTCCTAAAGTGCTTAGCTGCATCCTGATCAGGGTCACAGATCGCAGAAGCACTCAATGGGTGGTTTGTTCCAGCAATTTTTTTCCTGTTTTTGCTTGTTTTTGTATGTATTCAACCCTGCCCTTCTATGTATTATTAGTTTCCTGTTTTGCTTTGTCATTATTAGAACAATGTTTTCTTCTCCATTAAAATGAAGCAGGCCTTCTTTCCTTTGGTCAGGGACTAAAGGGCAGACCATGACAAGGTTTACTATCCTTAGTATCATTCTGCAAGCACTTCATTTAGTCTTGAAGCCATTCAGAAACTGGGTACTTATCCTAGTCAGGATTGTTTTGGCAGCAGTGTAAGCAGAGCTGGCCAGGCATTGTCCTCTTCCTCAGTAGCTTCCTTCAAATCATCCAGGCTCCCTCTGGGGGATCCCCAGCCACTCCTAGCCTGATAACTACATTTCATTAGACTGGCACACAGTGTTTAACATGATAAACACAAGAAATCAGCATATTATATAAGTATATTATGGTAATATTTTACAAGCTGTCGTGTAATAGCTTTGTCAGTTATTGCATGCTATTTCTGTTTTTTTCTCCTTTAGTTGTACTACAGTATGCAGTATGGTTTGTTACAGTATTATTGACTTTTACTCTTGCTATAAAAGAAGTACTTTGGTTATATTGCCAGCAGGGGAAATTACTGTCTGCGGTCACATTGACAGCTCTATTTAAATTGCTGTAGGACCTGGGATGTAGGTGACCTCAGATGAGGTTTGGAAGCTAGTAAAAGCATCTTTAAGATACAATGAAGATTCCAGTCTAGATGCATAACCACGATGTGGCTGAAAACAACCATAGTTTGGTGCTAGATGGCAATTTGTCATGTGCCTTCACCTCAGTTATAATAGATGATCTAGTAGGAAATGCTTCACTCTGGGCTTGTGCTTCTGCTTGATGGAGCTGGTAATGGAGACAAAGGTAATGTTAAGGATTGTTATATGTTACATGAAGTCAGACCAGAGGTGTTGTTTCTTGTATCTTGCTCAGAATGGCTGCATTATCAGTAAATGATCTATTTATTGTTATAAAAGTGGATTTAATTAATTGAAAGGAGCATTAAAGGTATTGACATGGTCTTTTAAATGTCTGCACTATGTACAAAAGGTTTTCCACTATTCACAACTTAACTCAACTTTATTTGTAAAGCACTTAAAAACACACAGTTGGTCAAATTGCTGTAGGCAAATATGAGAACAATTACAACACAAAGAATTGAAGAACAGAATAGAATTAACTAAGAATCAATATCTCAAACAAAGTTAAAATAAAGAAGAAAATGTGTTTTAGGAGAGATTTTAAAAACAGGAAGTGAGTCAGCCTACCTGACGTGCAGAGGCAACCCATCCCAAAGTTCTGGAGCTGCAACTGAAAAGCAACAGTTCCCTTTTAACTTCCTTTTTGTTATGTGATAACCAGCAGTGATGTATCTACCTGAGAGCCTATGAGGCTGAAGCTGGAGGGACAGATACTCTGGGGCAAGACATTTAAAAATGTATACAGCAGAGGAATTTAAAAATATGACCTAAAATGAACCAGAAGGCAATGAAGTGATGCTAAAATTGGGCTAATGTGCTGTTGTTTTTTGGCACCGGTTAACAAGCGAACAATAGCATTTTGAACTTGTTGTAGTTGAGCAAGAAGTGTCTGGCTAAGCCCTTTAAAGTGAATTACAGTAGCCATACATATATTACAAACTTCCATCTTTTTTTAACTCAATTTCACTGACTTATGTGCGTGGGCTGGTCACTGTTCAGGGTCTATCATGCAACTGGCAGGTCAATTGGTACATCTCTAGTAGATGATTCTGTACTGTACCAAGATTAAGTTTGGTCAGGGAACTGAACAAATGGGATTTTTATGAGTCTAAACCCCCAACACCTTTCTTAGGTGTTTTAGATTTTTTTAAATGCTAAATCAGGCCATTGTGCTTTGTAATTGTGTGTTGTTTTGGCCTTCCTGACGTACACAATGAAGATGATTCAAAGGTTTGGCTTGAGGTGACGCTTCATGCTGCAATTGATCCATCTAGAATATCAGCTACGATCAGTGACCTGGCAAAACTCCCAAATTGGCAATGACTCCTATTGTCTATGCATTTAGTGTCAGCTATCAGCCTAAGTATTGTTCAGTGAAGTTGCTCAGAGTGTCAACTGGACTTCATCAGATTAGGAAGCATCAAAACACACAATGGGTCAATGTCAGATAGGAAATGATGCTCACACAACTTCCCCTAAATGTACCTCTATATATGGCAATATATAATATCTTGCAATTGAAATACATTAGATAAGATTGTTGTTTACTCCTACCGTGCTGTACTCATATACACGGTCATTTCTACCTCCAGGTTGTGCTCTGCAGCTTGACTGTGTGACCAAACTGGGAGACAGAAGAAAATGCCTCCCAGGCCGTCCTCAGGGGAGTTATGGGGCATCCACTTGATGCCACCTAGGTATGGCACACTGCTAACAGTGCACACAGGTCTATGTTGGGTTTTTAGACTTCACATGACAACCTGAATTCATTCTTAATTGTTGGTTTAACTATATCTGAGTAGAAAATACTTAATAAAACAATCCAGGGCTTAACATTTTTAATCTTTTCAATTACTGGTTAGCTGTGTATCAATCACGGTTAATCCTTTAATAAGGATAATTGCTGGCATGGAAAGACAAATAACTGCATGTAGATGAATGTGATTCACACCCGTTTTTGTTTGTGAATATCCCAAAGGGTGGAGTTATTATTATGAAAACAATTGTTATATTTATAACTCAAAATTTAGCTTTATTAGTAGAGCTGCTGTTTTCAATTATATCAATTTCTGATTTTGTGTTAAACATCTATTTAGACATCTGATTCATTTCACAAATTAATTATATGTGGCGAACAAGGTTATGTTGACAGCCCTAATAGAAATGGTCACATCAGAAATGATTAATTCATACATTTCTCTTTTTTTTATTGTGAGCATTGTACAGTAACAGTTATTGTGTCTCCAGGATCCTGGTGGATTGTTTGCTGCCCAATGGCATGATTCTGACCCTGGAGTGTCTCCGTGAGGCAACGCTCATTACAATCAAACATGAGCTCTTCAAGGAAGCAAGGAAATATCCTCTCCATCACCTCCTACAAGAGGAGACATCCTACATTTTTGTCAGTGTTACACAGGTCAGAACTGTTCAATATCTGAGTAAAATAAATCTATTGGTTAAAGTCAGATTTTGAAAAAAAAACCATCACAATTCACAACAGCACAATTTCAGCCTTTCCTTCCTTCACCTGCAGAGAGGCTGCCAGGTTTTACACCTCTTCACTATACCACTGAGAACAAAAAGTAGAAATGTGGGGGGAAAAACCTAGGTTTTTTTTCTGCCTGCAGGAAGCAGAGCGGGAGGAGTTCTATGATGAGACACGGAGGTTGTGTGATCTCCGACTTTTCCAGCCCTTCCTCAAGGTCATTGAACCTGTTGGAAACAGAGAAGAAAAGATACTCAACAGAGAGATTGGTAGGGTATTCCTCTCCTCTAGTAGCATATTACCTCCAATGATGTGCTTAAAATGTGAATTACATCTCAGTTTTCCCTCTGTTTCTTGAAATTTTATGTTTAAAATCACACTAAAAACAACATACATATAAACAACTTCTCTGTTAGGTCTCAGTTTAGTATGAGTGTAAACAAATAATCCTATTTATGCCGTGTTGTAAATCTCTAGACAAATTATTTAGATGAAAACAATATCTGTTCTTAAATGTATGTGTTCATGTAGAGACCATAACCATGTTTTGCTCTGTCAGGTTTCGCCATTGGGATGCCTGTGTGTGAGTTTGACCTTGTTAAGGACCCTGAAGTGCAGGACTTCAGGAGAAACATTCTAAATGTGTGTAAAGACTCCGTGGAGTTGAGAGATGCATGTGGGCCACACAGCAGAGCACTGTATGTTTACCCACCCAACGTGGAATCCACGCAGGAACTTCCCAAACACATCTATAGCAAACTGGACAAAGGCAAGGGACAGCTCTGGTCTTTTTATGTTCACTGTAAACCTTATATTTTCCAGAGGAGAAAAAAAACTTGGACGAGCACAAAATTGTATTTAATTCTTAGTGACTTGACTAAGATGTGACTTATTTCTAGGGGCAATTATCTGCAAAGGAAAGAATTGAGCCTCTCATCAATATTTAATCACAACGAGACTTCCTCTATAGGGCATGGTTCTAGACTAGAAAAATGCTTCAATCAATCAATTGATTTAAAGGCAAGTGATGGTGCTGTTGTTGTAAAACAATGCTCCAAAGAGAATTATGTACTCCAGTGCAATAGCCAAAGTCCTTGGACTCTATAATGGTGGACTGTTGTTTCTCGGCCGCTGCTCCAGAAATGGAAACCTATTGACTCTCGTGTCAATTTGTTTTAATGTCTCTGTTCCTGCAGGTCAGATCATTGTGGTGATATGGGTGATTGTTTCTCCGAACAATGACAAACAGAAGTACACACTAAAGATTAATCATGACTGTGTGCCTGAGCAGGTACATGTTTATGAAATTTAACAGTAAAATAAAATGGAAAAAAAGTAATCGATGTCTAACAAAGCAGTAAATGTTTCCAACACACTCTTTGTGTCTGTGTCCTTCAGGTGATTGCGGAGGCTATTCGTAAGAAGACGCGCAGCATGCTGTTGTCCCCAGAGCAGCTGAAGATGTGTGTTCAGGAATACCAGGGTAAATACATCCTAAAAGTCTGTGGCTGTGATGAGTACCTGCTGGAAAAGTACCCCATCAGTCAGTACAAGGTACGAAACACAAGAAAAAAAACATGTCGAATCTTGACTGAGGCATTTCATCACTTTTAATCACTGCCAATAAAAAGTTCTGTTTTTATTGATGACTAAACAAAAGATTATTACACATAGATGATCGGATATTTCTTCTTTTTCTTATAAAACTGCACACTTTTATAAAGCATATTTTTTAGGCACTAATTTTGTACTATCAAATTGTACTGTCAAAGTTTTGATCAACTTTAATGAAACCACACAAAACTTGAAACAATTATTAGGGATAAAAGTTGAAATTCAAATGGGAAATCTTTGACGAGTGTGGAGTTTTTTTTTTTTAAGAGACAGTTCTACCTCTGAGCATAGACCAATGTAGGTGACATGCAATGACTCTAAACTCCTCTACACTTATTTGCCAGAAAAGCATCAGCTGGTATCACTGGCTGCACTCACACACGCTGTAACCCTATCATCTATTGTCAGTGTAGGCCTTTTTTTCCTCACTGTCATTCTTTCTCTACATCTCTACCTCCAGTATATTCGTAGTTGCATCATGCTGAGCAGGATGCCTAACCTGATGCTGATGGCCAAGGACAGCCTTTACACTCAGTTGCCCACGGATGTATTTTTAATGCCGTCATACTCCCGGCGCATCTCTACAGCTACGTCCTACATGAATGGAGAGGCAGCTGCCAAGTCATTGTGGACCATCAATGGAACTCTGAGAATAAGAATCCTCTGTGCCACTTACGTTAACGTCAACATACGGGATATAGACAAGGTGGGGACATGCAGAGCCTATAGGGAGTGTCACCAGTGTCTGTGTAAATCAGTCACATTTATAAACCACCAAGACTTCATCCTGACACATTTGTTAACACAACTGACAAGTAGAAGTACATTAGAAGTGGCCAAGGCCAAGTTAGAAGACAATATTCTTTGCATATTCATAGTACTCAAGCGGTCTTGAAAAAAAGTATTAATAGAAAATTATTATTTTAAATAGTCCTAAAGGACTTGAGACAATGTCATATGTCAAAGTTACTTTTTTGAGTACGTTGTAATAATACCTAATAAAGAGAGCATGTCTTTTATAACATATCTCTGGTCTATGCTCTTCTCTATAGATCTATGTGAGGACCGGCATTTACCATGGAGGTGAACAGATGTGTGATACTGTCAACACACAGAGAGTGCCCTGCTCTAATCCTAGGTAAATGATGACTCTTAAACATATTTTTATCCTATACTGCAGACTTTAAATACTGGAGTCACCAGTCAAAAATGTTTTGCATAAAATTGCAACTTCCCTTAAAAAAGTTGTTCCAAGCTGTTGTTGTCTCAGCAGAGCAAATGAGTTTCTCATTGAATAGGTTCTTACTTTTTGCCCCAGGAAACTCCATTGATTTGTATATGTATATATTTTTAAAAAACCATGAGAATAGCAGTTCTGAACTACCTTTAGAGACTATACTAAAACTATACTACTTGACTTTCACTAAATATGTTCCCTTGGACAGTCTTCAAAGCTAATTTACTAAGCTGTCTTTAAAGAGGCGGGAGGGTAAGTTAACAGTTTAGTGCTGCCTCGTAACACTAAACTAGCGTATTGCATTACTGTTAAACCTCAGTCTACGCAATCGGTTAACAGGTACACAGTCTGCATCTACACCAGATAAGGCAATTGGTTAGTTTTATTAAAATTACAATAAATAATATATATATGTATATAATAATCTATTTTGTTTTATAGTATAAGTCTTAGCTTAGCTTTTAACTCTTATTCACAGGTTTTCACATGATATTTTTATTTATTAACTTTGCATGTTTTTGGCTTGTACTCTGCAGGTGGAATGAGTGGCTCACATATGACATGTACATCCCTGACATCCCACGTGCTGCCAGACTCTGCCTGTCTATTTGCTCAGTCAAGGGCAGAAAGGGTGCCAAAGAGGTAGGTTACAGTATATGTTAATTCCTGTCATTTGGACTAGTAGCTGTTGATCCTCTGAATTAGCACTGTAGAATTAAGAGAATACCGACAGTCTCTGATGGCCAGCTTCTTCAGTTCTGAATGACTGTCAGTCAGAACTGAAGAACCCTTTTGGATGAGAGGTGAAACTTCTTCAAAAAACCTACTCCGTCCAGTTGTCCTCGATGTAACTAATTTTGGATTGTCACCAATGGTGGGGCCTAATGCATGTATTGTATGTGCTTCACCCGCTGATAGCAGGTGACCTTATTGTGCCAGAACAATGGGATGCTAAGCCGGTCCCTAGAGACCTTTACTTATAGATACAGGGTGAGTTTGCATTTGTGAGTGTGCACGTGGGCATGTGCCTAGCACATAAACCTTCCTTACTCTGTGAGTCAGTATGCGCAAGGTGAATGGGAGCTGTGGTATCGTCTTTGGCTCTCTTTAATTACTAATCAGTTGTGGGTGATGTCAGGTCATAAAACATCACCAGGAACACTATCAGCAGCAGGTACTTTACTCATTCATGAGAGTTCATATGAGAGTAATACGCTTTGGTACTAAAACTATCCAGGAAAAAACACTGAAAACAGAAATCTTGAATAGAAGTTCATAGAGTTTCTGAGTGTTCAATAATACGTTCCCTACTTAAAAGTTTATGATGGGCAACTGGAAACACTTGAGTTTCTTTAAGGAGTTTGGCCCAGGACAGAAGGATCATTGGGTTAGTGGTTAGTGCTGGACTTTCTGGAATGCAAAGAAAATTTCACTAACTATACTATTTTCATAATGTGCCCAATGTTTCTGATGCTAAAACATCATTAACAGCAACCCCTGCTGGGTACTTACGTCAGGCTTGCGATCAAGCCATGTGGTGTAAAACTGTTAAAGTGTGACAGTGTTTGGTATATTTGATCTGGCACTTGAAACAGACACCTTCATCATCAATTTTTCTTCCATCCTTCACTGTCTTTTGTGTGTGTGCGTGTGGGTGCATGGACTCCAGTGTATCAATGAATGTCAGACATGGATATGGTAACAGACACCTGGCTTAAGTCCCGTCCCCTGCAGCGTCATGATAGGTTGAGGTCAGGCTAGAGGATGCTTTTTCAAGCCTCACCTGAATTAAAGATAAACACTTCTCCAGAGCAGCCTTTTGTTCCAGCAGACACTATTAATAGGTTCATTTGACTGGACGACTGTGCGTGACTCAGTCTACTTTACGGCACTGCCCTTTGTGCTTTTGCTGCCGCAAAGACTTAAAATGTAGAGGTTATCTTATACATTACCATGGCCTCGGTGATCAGAGGTGATCATTTAAGGTTGTCATATTTAATTTTGTTGACTAATGACTCTACAACACAGTCTGTATTTATATTTATATTTTTATTTTTTTTCTCTGTTTAGGAACATTGTCCATTAGCCTGGGGTAATGTCAACTTGTTTGACTACACTCACACTTTAGTGGCCAACAAGATGGCACTGAATCTTTGGCCTGTCCCTCATGGCCTTGAAGACCTTCTTAATCCTATAGGGGTCACGGGGTCCAACCCCAACAAGGTATAAAACTCAATCAGCAGGTCATGTTTTTGTGGACACGTTTCACTGTTCACCACTTTTTACCCAGTATAACAATAATGTCATTTAGGAAACGCCATGTTTGGAGCTGGAGTTTGACCACTTCAGCAGTCCAGTCAAATACCCAGACATGAATGCAGTAGAGGATCATGCTAACTGGACCATCTCCAGAGAACTGGGATTCAACTTCAACTTGTCTGGTCAGGTAATTAAAATACAGTTTTCTTTTTCATATCAACCAGTATACACACAGTTTGGTCTGGATATGTGTTGAAGTCATTACAATTGTCAGTGTTCTTGACAGACTTTTGCCCTGTTTCAGAGCAATCGTGTTGCCCGAGATCATGCACTAACAGAGGGCGACACGGAGCAGCTGAAGCAGCTGAGCAACAGAGACCCTCTGTCAGAAATCACTGAGCAGGAGAAAGATTTCCTCTGGAGACACAGGTAACAGTCCATTCTGCATTTTATCCAAACTCCAACCTGTTTAACTTAAAAAAGTATATGTTTAAGTTAACAATTTTAAATTGCCATTGACATGAGTGTGAGTTTGAATAAACGTGAACCTGAGATGGACTGGGGAACTGTCCAGCACCGCTCTCACCAGATGACAAGCAGGATTGGCTCAGTTTCCCCTGTGACCCTAAAAAGGATTAAGCTGGAGAGATAAAAATCGTACAGAGAAAGCAGCTGACAGATTGATCCTGAAAGTGATAATAATCTTCACATTTACCTCATATAAATTGCATGTGTATCATATTTTCTCCCAGGACTAAAGAGTCATTGATTATAAATGGTGGTAGACATTTCCCCCTGTCTGAATCAACTAGGTGAATTACTTTCTTTCTCAACCAGACACTACTGCATGATCATCCCTGAGATCCTTCCAAAGATCCTCCTCGCTGTAAAGTGGAACTCCAGAGATGAGGTCGCACAGGTAAAGACACAAGAAAACATATCTGTCAACACAGCTCTATCCTTTACCATTGTCCTGTAACTGTGAAAAGCAATAATTGACATCTTTACTGTTGTTTGATAGGGTACTGACACATTGCCAACACTAATGCAAGAGAGAAAGTTGGAGGAAAAACTGATTTTTTTACATTCATGCCAAGTGTATGATATCTGTCTCAAGTAGTTATATCAAGGGCGACTGGCCTCATAGGTTTTTCTAGGACGTTTCACTTTCATCCATGAGGCTTCTTCAATTCTGAGTGTATGATATCTAATAATATGTTTGCCCTTTAACATCCTACTAGAAGAAAAAAAGTTAAAAAAAAAGTAACAGAACAAACAGATTAGTTATTAGTTATTTTGTATGTTGTATTAATATACCTTAGACATTGTTTTGGTTTCTCAACTTAAGATTCTAAAATCAGGTTAGAATTTTGTTTGGTTTTCATTTTAACAATTGACATTGGGTTTTTTCTTTTAGTTTGAGTCTGTAAGTGGTTTAAACATTATTTTTCATCATTTTTTGTACTCTAATTGTTGCTGTGTCTTTTGTAATAGATGTACTGCTTGTTGAAGGACTGGCCGTCCATTCGGCCTGAACAGGCCATGGAGCTGTTAGACTGTAACTACCCAGACCCCATGGTCAGACAATTTGCTGTGCGCTGTCTTGACAAATACCTAACTGATGACAAACTGTCTCAGTACTTGATCCAGCTCGTACAGGTAGGTCATACAGTTAGGGCGCCTGAGATTTAAAGAAACAAGAAACTGCAAATGTCTTACATTTTGAGAAAGCATGTTTTTCTTTTTTTATTCTGCTCCTACATGAGCTCCATGTCTTTAGTTGAATGTGTGTTTTATGTGTTGCGTTCATTTGACACAAAGACGATATCTCAGATTTGCTTTACCTCTTGTGTTTTTTCTTTACATTCTTTGTCCTCAATCTTACTTTTTTTTTCTCATCTGCTCTTATTAGGTTTTAAAATATGAGCAGTATCTTGACAATCCTCTGGCTCGCTTTCTACTCAAAAAGGCCCTGACCAATCAAAGGATAGGACATTTCTTCTTCTGGCATCTCAAGTGAGGTTTTTTTTCTTCAGATAAAGAATCTTTTTTATTTTTTTTGTCTCACCAGCAAAAATTAAAAATCTTTTTCTGTATTTATTAATATTTATTTATCTATTGCAGGTCAGAAATGCACAATAAAACAGTGAGCCAGCGATTTGGACTTCTGTTAGAGGCTTACTGCAGGGCATGTGGCATGTACCTGAAACACCTGAGCAGACAGGTGGAGGCTATGGAAAAGCTCATAAACCTGACTGATATCCTGAAACAGGAGAAGAAAGATGAGACGCAAAAGGTAGAAAGGCATCAGCACACACAGAAACAAAATGAAGCACTAATATGAGTTATTATGCTTCATCATGGACCTTTCATTGTACTCAATAAATAAAACTTGAATTTGTGTTTCTTGTGGAGGTCCAGATGCGGTTTCTCGTGGACCAGATGAAGAGACCTGACTACATGGATGCCCTGCAGAACTTCACCTCTCCACTCAACCCTGCACACCAACTTGGAAACCTGAGGTGAGGCAATATGAGGCACCTTTGTTTGCATGCACATTAAAATATGTGTATGATTGAGAATCAAAATACCAAACAACATTTAAATGTGTGCACAGGTTAGACGAATGCAGGATCATGTCGTCAGCAAAGAGACCATTGTGGCTGAACTGGGAAAATCCTGACATCATGTCTGAACTTCTTTTCCAGAACAATGAAATCATATTTAAAAATGGAGATGGTAAGAAGTGGATCATTGGCAAAAAAAACCAAACAATAAACCTACATTTTGTAGCAACAATATAAATTCAAATTACTTGTTTTCTCCAGCCGCAGCTGTCTGCATCCTTATCAATTCTATAATGTTCATAATGAAGGCAGCAGAAGGCAGAGTTTTAAATTCTCAACTAAGACTAGAGCTAATACCTTTTGGCTGCCACTGTCCTGATGCTGTCTCCAATTCCTCATAATCTCAGCATGCTGTTAACTTTCGCCCTCATCCTTTTGTGTGTTTTTGTAGACTTGCGGCAGGATATGCTGACGTTGCAGATTATCAAAATCATGGAGAATATTTGGCAGAATCAGGGACTGGACCTGCGGTATTATTATCTAAATCTGTATCTCTCTCTTTTTCTCCTCTGCCTTTTTTTCTTTCTTTCTACTTGGCTCTGTCTCTGCTTTGCAAAAAACCCAAAACAATCTGTTGTCTTTGTCTCTAGGATGCTTCCCTATGGCTGCCTGTCATTAGGAGACTGCGTGGGCCTCATTGAGGTGGTTCGCAGCTCCCACACGATCATGCAGATTCAGTGTAAAGGAGGTTTGAAAGGAGCTCTGCAGTTCAACTCGAACACTCTGCATCAGTGGCTCAAGGACAAGAACAAGGGCGAGATGTGAGGGTTCTTTTTTTGCAGCCTGCATCATCAGATCATCTTGAAAAAGAAATATCATAAATTGTCTGAATTTACATATGAGTGAGTTACAGCAGATTTATCTAAGAAAGCCTTCCGTTTATATTTGCTGTGTGTGTGTGTTTGTGTGTGCAGGTATGACATGGCTGTGGATTTATTTACAAGGTCCTGTGCTGGCTACTGTGTAGCTACATTTATCCTGGGGATAGGAGACAGACACAACAGTAACATAATGGTCAAAGATGACGGTCAGGTAAGTCATGCCACATATTATTTATACACACGGAAACAATACAGTTAATAAACAATTTTATTAGAATAATTATTCCTTCTTTCAAAAAAAATGGTGAACTGATCTGTGGTCAGTGAACAACAACGTAAAGATTTTTTTGGCTTAGACTCTTGCGATCGAAATCAGAAGAACCCATGGTTTTCAGTGCATTTCCATCTTGTTCCATCTATATATATACACTATCGCCTAAGAATTGAGAAGAATTAAGTTAATGTCATGATATATATTTATATATTTTTTTCCTTTAGTTGTTTCACATAGATTTTGGACATTTTCTTGATCACAAGAAGAAGAAATTTGGCTACAAGAGAGAACGAGTGCCCTTTGTTCTGACACAAGACTTCCTTATTGTCATCAGCAAAGGATCCCAGGAGTGCGCAAAGACCAAAGAGTTTGAGAGGTAGCCCCAGTAACCTCACTTTTTTTCCCCATTAGTTAGTAGTTTAGTTCTTTGGTTCTTCTTTAGTTCTCTCCCATAAACATTAATGTCAGTGTGATGTTTTCATCTCTTAGTCAACTTTCAAATAAGCCTGACTAAATCATGGACAGCCACATTTCCTTTGGGTGTTTTATCTTCTCTCTTGCTTGTGTACAGCACTTTAGTCAACTGTATTGTTTTTTTAAAGTTCTTTGTCACTAAAGTTTAGTTCAGTAGAATATCTCTTTCTCACTAAAGTTTAGTTCAGTAGAATATCTATTTTTTAAGGACACTTTCAGGATTGTTGTTGTCCTGCAAGCAGGTTTGACAAAAAAAAACAAATTTAGAAGAGCTGCCTCATGCAAGTGGAAAATTTAACTGGGGATATTTTCAAGCCTCTTTGGAAATTCAACAACTTGGAACACAGAAAAAGCTGACAATGTTATGTTGGACTGTTAACACCTGGCATGAAATATCTGATAATGCGTCACAGGTTTGTGCTATTCTTTGTTAGTAGAGAGGAGAGAAAAGGACAAGGAAATAAAACATTAAGACAGAGAAAAAAAAAATCTTTAAAAAGTAAAGGATGTATTTCAGTAGCAGAATAGTTGTCGAAGGGAACTTAATTAATGCTGTCCATGATGGTAAGGATAGGATAGGATAGAATGAACTTAATTAATGCTGTCCATGATGGTATGAAGTAATTAATTACATTTTATTTCAGCTTTACAGTAGAGATTATTAAGGATTACACTCTCTGACTATCTGTGCCTCTGCTTATTCATTAATAATGAAATAGTTCTACCTTCCTGTACTTTTAGTCAAGTACTCTCCAATGACTTCTCACCTTATTTAAGCCAAGTTAAAGTAGCACCAGTGTTCAGTTAAAAGTCTGTTTTGCTCCAAATTGTCATCATTTGCCAAATATTAGTTATTGTTGAATTATTGAGAAGATTAAGAATGAATCAGAACATCAGTGTTTGGTGGTGACAAGGCAGATAAACTGTTTACAGGAAAGTACAGTAGATTGAAGTTAAAGAAGCAAAAAACCCTCTCTGGGTACATTGACAGTGATGTCACTCAGGTGAAGCACTCCTCACATTCTCTTATTTATTAACTTGCAGGTTCCAGGAGATGTGTTACAAAGCCTACCTGGCCATCAGGCAGCATGCAAACCTCTTCATCAACCTCTTCTCCATGATGCTGGGCTCTGGCATGCCTGAGCTGCAGTCATTTGACGACATTGCCTACATCCGGAAGACTCTGGCCTTGGAGAAAAGTGAGCAGGTTTGTGAGCTAGCTGGTCTTATAAAAAAAAAAAAAAAATGAGTTGGTGTCCAGTCACTCTCACCCCCCTTATGAGTCTCTTTTATTACTTTTCTCCTATGAGCAGGAGGCCTTGGACTACTTTATGAAACAGATGAACGATGCTCACCATGGAGGATGGACCACAAAGATGGACTGGATTTTCCACACAATTAGACAGCATGCACTAAACTGACCCTCCCTAGAGTATTTACTTGTGTCAGACAGACACATCCAAGCAAAATCCTGTCCATTTTCACAAACCACCAGGTTCTTTTACACATCTATTTTCTGTTTTCCCTCTTGGCTTCTTCATCATCATCTAACATTAGTGAGGTCAAAAAGATGCTCCTTCACCACTTTACTCTACTTCCTTTCTCTTCTGGTAAAGAGGTGCTTCACTTGCCCAATAATTTACTACTTACAATCCTTCATCCTACATCGCCCCTCCTGTTCAACATAAAAAAAACTCTTACCAAGAAATCGTTACCAAGAAAATGTTACCTCTTACGCTGCTACTCTTGGAGGAAACCACAAATGTAACAGAGCAAATGCAGCCACAACAGAGAGTTCGACTTGCTGCTCTACTGATGTAGTCGTTCTGTAATGTGGCTCCAGCCTATAGACACTTTTTCTCTCTTTTTTAATATTCTAAATACTGCTGTGAAGTTTGTGGGCACAAGGAATCGTCTCATATTTGTTGCATAGTGTCGGATGACTGAAACAAGTGGCCTGATGACTAGCTCTGCACAGTCTTCCATCATCTTTGTGGTGAAGTTTACTGCGTCAAAACCCAAGAACTGTCTGTGCCATCTGTTGTGCACGGCTCTGCAGTCTCTCTTGGCCTCAGCAGGACAGCACTCCACTCTTGGGAACATTTGGTGGTGGTACAGCTACAGACCTGTGCAGGAACTTCAGGGTGATGTTGCCTATCCATCAAAAAACAGCACTTAAAAAAACAGAATAATATACAGATTTATTATGACTTTTTAAATTTATTTATGTACCTAGTTTCTTTCAGTTTACGTCCAAGCAAATCTCCTAACTCCAAAACAGCATTTGTGTAAAAAGATTTGTTTAAAGCTTCTTCTGCTAACTTAAACTATTAAGGTTTTTCTTGTTTTGTCAGCGCCATAGTTTTTTTTTTCAATGAAGACTGCTGATGTTAGCTTCCATCTCTTTTACTCTAGTTTTCTTCCATTTTTTTTATAGTGATCGTCCTAAAGATAGGTCGTTTAGGAAAGCAGAAATGGTGAGATGGAAAGTGCCAGTCCCACATTTTTTCTGAATAATGATGGGGCCTATTTTAAAACTCTGGCTGTGTGATCGTCTGCAGACAGAGACCCGTGGGAATGTCACGTCTTCCTGTTGATAAAATACCTTGGTTCCTCAGCACAACACTCAACTACAGTGCGCATTGCCAAGCCCAACAAATTACAAATTATTTGAAGTAAACAAACGCAGCAGCACTGTTAACATAGAACTGCAAGACCAGTTGAAAGAAAACCCAGACCTTCATTTTCTGTGTTTAGTGTCTGCTTTTATTTATTTATTTTTTTCATTCATGCTGATGTCAACTGTTTGGTTCCCCTTTCCCCCAGGAAGGAAAGTGATTTGCAATGGCTCAGCGGGAACACAACAAGTGTGCGGCCATTAGTGGTAGGTCACCATGCCATTTTATTGGTTCTGTTGGTCTTCAAAATTCAATTTTTTCCATAAATTGTTCTAACTTGAGGGTTCAAATTATGTTAGTGTTCAAACTCCCAGCCGGACCTTAGGTTCTCTTTTTGCCCTAGGTGAAAAACAGGTGTTTTGTTGTTGTAGTTGTTAGCAGGCAACCCAATTAAGTGTCCTGGTCTGGACAACAGAAAAAAAAAACATATCCATCACAGTATTTTTATCTATTGTTGTATTGCTACATGCTGAGCCCACTCTGTTGCTCTGACGTGACTTTATGTTTGTGACTGGTATAATATAAGTCATTTGGTCAATAAGTCCACCAGTATTACCATAACATCAACCTGAGAATGTTCTCACGTGTTTGGTTATGTGACCAACCCAAAGATATTTTATGACATGTCACATGAACCGAAGGATGACGTCAACGTTTTAGACACACAGAAATGTGTCAAACTGTTGTCAGTGGTTGCTATCATGAAACGTGGTAATCATGTCTAGCAATCAATGGTTTCAGTCGGAGTAATGTTGCATTACTACAACATCAGTGTATCACTAGAATGTTTTTATCTGCTGACCTTCCGTACCCTCTTGTTACATTTTGGCATCAGTCACGTTCAGAAGGTCATCTTTTTGTTTTCCTATTGTGCCAAACCAGACATCATTGCGGCCTGTGTAAAAAAAAAAAACTAGCACTTTGCAGTCAGGCATATCAGTTACAGAAAAAAAAAGAAAAAGTCTGAAGAAAATGAATGAACCAAGAAAAAAAACATTTTTTCCAAATGCCTTTTTAATTTGTTTAAGTGAATCTGAGGGGAGAAGTAGCCTAGCATGCATGTTTTTCCAGCAGCATAACCACTGATGTGTAATGTTCAGAACATCATTCAGAAGTGTGTTTGTGCGTACGCAGGAGCATCTTTGCTGTTGGAGGCCTCACTGCGAGGCTGTATCTCTGACTTCCTTTGCGTTTTCACACATGGTTTATTTGTTTCTGTGCAGGCTGCAGAGCTTCATTGGCAGGACCCAATGAAATGTCTGTGCATGCGTTCATGTCTGTGTGTGTGTGTGTGTGTGTGTGTGGGTGGGTGTGAATGTGTTGACGACGCTTAACTGCTGCAGTGAAGGTGTCTCTCAATGTTTTCTAAGCCAGTTTTTTCATGATCTTCTCTGTTACAGAGAGAGAAAAAAAAACAGAAGTGAAAGCTTGTCAACAAAAATCTTCAGATACGAAGAAATATTGAAAAAAAAAAGTTTTTTTAATACATTGTTTTTACTTGAAACGTGCTGAATCAGAACCACAGATTTGTCCGTTTAGACCTGACGTGCAGGGTTGCTGTATTCCTACCCGAACACACATGTAAGTGTGTGTTTATGTGTGTGTTGTATATATAAGAAACAAGGATTGAAGACCTGTATAGAAATGGATGAAGCTGTTTTTACAGCTGTGGTTTCACAGTGGTTTAAAAAAGTAACATTTTGTGAATGAAAACCACTTTTCCCTTAAAATAAAATGTCAATAAGATTTATTTCTAATGTCAATTGTTTGAATTTGTAGTTAAAGCGATAGAGACAGAAATGTCAAATTTGTAATATTTTCCAATTTTGAGGAAAATATATATAATAAACAATGTTGTTTTCCCCTTAGATTTCTTCTGTTAAGAATTACTGCCTGTAACGAACAAGAACATTTCTTGTCTCCTGGGCTGAAACATGTGCCACCACACGGCTCCATCCATGTCTTATACACGGTCTATCAGACCTAAGTATTGGTGTACAGGCTGTTGCTTTTATACTGGTCGTGAATGTTGATGTTGCCACAGTCGTGGATTTCAGAGTGAAGAAAGAACGTGATTATTGAACAAGTCAAGGACTCGAAGTTGAATTTTTGATGAGTCCAAATTTCTAAGACCAGATTCTGTGAGAACTGTGATGAGGTTTTGGTGAGATTGTCAGATTTCAGCCTCAAAATTGTGAATGAGATTCAGCACCAAAGGTGAAAGCTTTTCTAGAAAACGTTTGAAAGCTCGCTTGCTCTGAGCCGGTGCAGGAATTCTACATTTCAAAAAATGTTGCACTAGTTTATTCCCCTCCCTTAAGCAAAGGCCATGAATGCCTCTGCTCTTTATTTGTCCATGTTGTCAGTCTTAAACCTGGATTCAAATCTACTGACACTGATCGCAGGGTTGAGTATTACATAGTAGTGACCATGGATCATGTGTTTAAAATGAATCATGTGTTTAAAAAACAAAACAGTTTTCTCCTGCGACTGCAATCCCAACACTCAGATTTTTTTGAACAAATAGTAGACACGGTAACATGGACACATTACCAATCAAATGAGATCCAACCATGTATCCATGAAGTGAGAATTATATGAAGTCCCGTGTTGTTTGAGGAACCCCTCGGACAAATGTGTGCATGTTTCTGTGTGTTTATTTAACAGATGTTCATGTTATTGTGTCCTTTTCCTGTTTTCCTGATATTTATTAAATATAGATGCAGACGTTTAATGTGGTTTTCTGTAAAAAAAAAAAAAAAAAAGATGGCAGCAGGGGGCAGATGGGGAGTAATGCAGCCGTGATCAGCTAGCTATTTAGTGTATTAATGGCACTCGAAATAGCTTACTTGTTGTCTGGGGCAACCACAAGTCGAACACTATTTTTTTTTTTTTTTTTAATTTTGACAATGCTGGAAGAGATGTGCTTTTTTATGTCAAGAGGAGGACAACAAAAAGAATACTCATCTGGGGGCAGACATTGAAGCAACATATAGTACATTTATAGCCTTTACTGTGAACACTCTACTTAGGCGGCATCTTGGAGAAGATGTCGGCAGACATTTTACTTTTAGGACGTATGAAGGAACACAGAGCAATATTTTAAGTCGGTTATATTATTTGGGTCCAAGTGTCAGGAATTCCCCAAGAAAATATTAGAAGCAACAATATCTTTTGTTTCAAATGATTTTATATATCAAACAGACACGTGCCAACCAAATGTACTACACCGTGGACAAACAAACAAACAAACCCAATATTCAGTGTGTGCCACATCGAAGTTTGTTTTTTTAAAGCCACAGTTGCAGACTATTCCGTCAGTTCTATTGTACATGATTTTAAACACAAACTTAAAATGGCCTTTGATGGAACTGAACATTTAAACTAAGAAGCCGTTTTGTTTTCAACCGTCCGCACTCATGTCAATGAAGAATGGTTTGTGGCTCCGTGTTCATTTTTTGTGTGCTGTACTGCAAACTGCACAACAGTGTGAAATTTACTATAAATGAATGAATGTACACCAGGCCAATGTATTATTTTATGTTATATATATATTTCTACTCTTCCAGCAAGTGTTTTTTTGTATTATTTATTTCTGCTACGTAGTCAGACAAATGTTTCAAAGTTAATGCTTTGGGGTTTTCTCCCTGTCATTACTTTTCTGTCCATTTTCTTCTTTCTACATTCAGTATTTAACGTGGGTTTTGATTTATATCTGCGAATGGGGTTTCACTGAGTTAGGGTTTGTACCCTGATCTCTGTGGAGATGTACAAATACATTTGTTAAACATTCCCTCAGTTGTGTTTGCTTTTGAAGGTTGGCTGTTCAGCAGACCTACAAGAGAAACCTGCAGTGAAAAAAAATGAAAAGAAGTCTTTATTTTAGGAAATTTCGCTGAAACAAACTTACTTGAATTTTTACGGATTCTGATGTAACCTTAAATAATAAAACTCCTCCAATTTAACAATGGATTCCAATCCGATCGATCCGATCAAATCAGGTGGACATTCCTGTCTGTTTTAATCTGCATTTTTAGATCACATCATTTTGTGTTCCTCAAATCATGGGTCGTGACCCGTACCTCACTGTAAATAGCAGGATAAATCATTTGGTTTTAAGTAAAGAGTAACAGGGAAAGTATATGAATGATCATTTAGGTCAGAAAGTTCAATTTAATTAACACATGAATCTGGAACATTTTAATTCTTCACAGGTTTTTATTTTGTCTCAGATCATTTATACTTTACACTTTGAAAATGAAGAACACTGAAATGCTCTGTGGTCGTTTCTCACTACAGACCCCACAATTGTTTCATATAAATTCCTGGACAGGACAAAAAACATTAATTTGAGTACAAATGTGGAAAAATCAACCCAGCAGATCGATGTCACTGAAGGCTGGGGCCTTGGTGCCGGCCTCAGCGTTAGCATTCGCAGAGGGATTGCGCGGGTGGAAAGGTTTCCAAGGCTTGGATGGACAGTGCAATTTGTCATCAGCAGCTTTCATGTCCTCCTCAGAAGAATCTTCTTTCTTCTTCTTCTTCTCTTCTGAAGCTTTTGGGGTGGGGGCAGGCGTGGTGGGGGCAGCTGGAAGGTGGCTGGCTGGTTGTGCTGCAGAAGGACGATCTACCCTCCTCAGAGGTGACCAGCCAGGAGGACGACGCCTGGCGATGGTCTGAAAAACAGAATGACGTCACAGACAGGTTGGAGCAGTTGGTCGCTGTGACCGTGGTTGGCTGGCCAGTCAAAGGAACAAGAACTTTTCTTGTTTTTAAACTGTTTTTTAATACCTTGTTTTTAGTTTAAGCAAACTATTTATTTGAATTAAATGTCTGAATTAGTAAAACATTTAAATGATCTTGTCTTACATTTGCAGACAAAGCACCAGGTTGACACTGTATCTGAGCCACCGGGGGCTCCAGTCTCCACGGAGCTGTGTCTATTGTAGAGTTACAGTTGGCATACTCCTAAATGAAGCGAGAGAACAAAGAGACAGGTTACGTTGTGTATACGTTTAGAAAAAAATACCATGATGTTTCCATACAAATTTTTTATGCTATTTACCACATCCTGTTCGTTTGGAACACACTGCTCATTGAGTTCTGTGTTCTCGGCCTTGGCACATATGGTCTTCCTTATGTCAAATTTAACTTTGAACCTGAAACCGCCCATCACCTGTCTGGAGGCATATTCAATTGTGTGCAGACTGAAGAGGTGAGTGGAGTCAGACATGGAGTTGTACTTTGAGATGGACACAAAGAGTGGGACTTTCAGCTCCTCTGAATCCACACTAATTTCCACAGGACAGCCCAAACAGGGAGCTTTCTCTGGATGAATGTGAGCATCTGAAACAAAATCCAACCAGCACAAAAATTCAAATGAGGTCATATTTTGTAATTTGGATAAGGATGCGTGGATTACATCTGCTACAAACTATTTTCCCTGCGACATATATCTGTCTTTTACTGTGGTTGAGACTGCGGTTCTCTGTAAAGCCACTAGTCATGATTTTTATTTAAATGAGTCAGGGTGCAAATATAGAGACAATACTGCTTAGTTTTTGAACATTTTTGAGAAACACAAAATGCAGATTAAGCGGTAGTTGAGAACACGCAGCAATTTGGACCTAATTTGAGTTTATAATCCAGGCCAGCAGGTTGTCCAAATTCTTGTGTTATTTAGTTTGAATTGAGCAACGTCTGGAGAACCTGTTTATAATCAATGATTGACAGAATGGGAAATTACGTTGAAAACGTTTCTTGGTTAAATTTAGGGTAAGTCCAGGTTAAACCGTAGTACAGAAGCTGCACGTCTACTCGTTCCACTCAGGTGGTACATGCTCACAAAATAAGAACTTATTACATCATATTACTGAACTGTTATTTCCTGTAACTCCAGTACTAAATACCTTTATTCAGGAAGGAGTTTTGTGGAGATTAGTGCACTAAGCTTGAAAAGCCTTTTTTGAAAACATGGGAATCAAACCGCCTCTGTTTACTGTAGACTAACAGTGAGCATGTTAGACAAACAGATTAAAGTCTAGACCTTTCCTACTCCTTTTATGGTTTGTCTCCTTTCCTCTCTCCCCCTCCATTAAAGTTAAAAACAGTTACTCTGAGTTCACCAGAATACATTTCATCATCGGTTCAGTTCCTCGGTGACGCTGTCCTTTTCCACTTATTTACCCGAGATTCAGTTTTACATTTGAAACCTGACAGTGTTAAGTTTCCTGTACGGTCAGCTCAATACCTACATCCTCCAAATACTTCAATAGTAGTATTACTAGTGACAGTACTTCATAAACCCACCGAAGAAACAGTCCACCTGCTGAGTCTGTATCTCTGCTCCTGACACCTGGACTGTGGCGTTGCATCTGATGGGCTGCTGCAGAAACACAGAACATTCTCTGTAACATCTTTCTGGGATTTTTACACTCTGACCCAGATGTCTTTGTGCAAACACTACTGTTAGTATCAACAGCAGTTCAATATGAGTACTACCATCAGTACCTTGTGTCCAGTGGGCAGATAGTCACAGTCTTCCCAAGGTTTGGGACTGTCAGCTTCACAGTCACTCCTCCTGGTGGTGAAGTCCAGTGAATACACTAAGTCTGAGCCGCTCTCTGTCTGTAGTGTCGAACATTAAAAAGGACATGAAAGTAATCAGTTACGTACAAGTGTCAAACCAACGACTGTCCTCTGCATTGACACCAGTGGTGGGTGGACAGTGGAGATGGGTTTGTCTTCTTTTTATTGTGGTATTTTTGATTTTCTGGAGACTAGAGTGATGCAGTGGTTGGACTTCTACTTGTTTTGCAGAAAGTTCTGGTTAATAAAGTTAGTCTGTTGAACTAACGTCACACGTGACCTTTCTCTAAGTTAATAAAGTTAGTCTGTTGATTAAAACTAACGTCACACGTGACCTTTCTCTACATTCATGCTGATACCTTGCTGACTCTTCGAATCTGAAAGAGTGCCAGGTGATGTCCAATGGTTATCCTCTCATTGAACTTGTGCACAGCGTTGCTGACGACCTTCTCTACTGACGGGTCATCACAGGGGACTGAAACACTGGGCTGGACATCTGCTGCCACCTGGAGGACAAAATGTGAGTTTTTTTTATTGTGTAATTCATTGTGTTTTAAATTCGATATATATACTTCCTGTTGTTAATTTTTTTTAAATTTTCTCAATACCATTAAATTATTTTAATAAACCTTTTTAAAGCAAACACAGTCAAAAACCCAGTGGATTAACAGCTTTAAACTGTAAAATTTATCAGGAGGACCTTGTCTGTTGCAGGACCTAAATAAATATATTTTTAAAAATCAATACAGAAAAATGTAGCTCACAAAAAACGTATTGATTCCATTGCTTTCCTACAATTTTGATCTTGTTTTTCTAAAATCTGTTTACACCTTAAACTAAATGTTCCAAAATCACATTTAAATGCTAGTTTTGACAGTAATCTTAAACTAAATGTTCTTCCAAATAAAAAATCACACCACATTTAAATGCTAGTTTTGACAGTAAAGTGTTTCCTCACAAGCTCAGAGAATATTATTTATGTTACTGTGCTTTAAAAAAAGAATGTGATTTGAGAGACATTCACGATGTCGGCGTAGGACAGAAAAGACAGGAATTGACCTGCTTGTTTTTCAAAATAAGTCAAAAGTGAGAACATTTACAACAACTTTATTATTCTACGTGGTAATACTGGACGTGTATTTTTAACGCAGCAGGACAACAACCGTCACTTTCTGCCTACCTGTCTGAGGATGAAGCTGCAGAGGCCCAGCAGGCCCAGCAAACACAGGCCTACTCCACTCCTCATTGTCTGACTCTGCTCTGCCGTAAAGTACAGAAGAGTCAAAATCACACCTGAAAGTCAAAAGGCTTCTCTTTTCAAGTTATTGATGAGGCACTCACAGATTATCTGGAGAAAGGAGGGAAAAAGTCGACTCCTCTTCAGACGGGGAGAGACGACCGAGTGAAAGTGTAGGTGGGAATCCTGGGACCCAGACACACAGAGGACAGGAGGGCGACTGACGAGCACATACAGTACACACACATACACAGTACTGATCAAAACACTCACTGGGTAAAAGAAGAGTAAATGTTTGCTTTTGTTGTTTGCCCTCCGCTCTGACAAATCAATAACTGTCCTTGCTTTCCTTCTCTCACAGAGAGAGAGAAGGAAAGCAGGTGGATCAGAAACACAGAGAGAGAGAAGGAAAGCAGGTGGTGATCATGAGTTTGAAGTTAAATTAGTTTTTAGCCTAAAAAGACCTCGATTCACCAGTGATTCACATTTACTGTCTTCGGAAATAGTTCCTAGGACTGATTTTTGGTTGATTTTGCTCGTAATTCCTTGTGTTTCTTATGAACATATTTAAGATGACACATGTTTACCATCTAAATCTTCTAAAACTACATTTAAGCAACTGTTACATTTGTTTTGCATCTAAATATTTAACATTTTAACACAGATGTTCACTTGGAAGTTGTTTGAATCCATTTAAATTAAAATATTAATTTTCCATTTTTACCATAGAAACCTTATCTTATGAATGACCTACAAAAAAGTCTTGTTGGTGGTTGATGGTCTTCTGTATGTTAATTAGGCCACAGGAGAGGTTAGAACTCTTGCCTTACAACGGGACGATCATTTGTTCAAGCTCTTCTCCCTGTGCAAAGTACCAGTGTGACAATAAAGTTTAGGGGGTTTTATTATCCACTGCCTTTCCTATTTACTGCTGCGGTTGGCTTCAGTCCCGACCACGATTCTTTTGTGTTGTGCTACAACAATTCAACTTTTTTTTTTCTTAAACCAGTCTCTCTGTGTGTGTGTGTATGTGTGGGTTTGTGTTCTGTGTGTGTGTGTGTATGTATGGGTTTGTGTGTGTGTGTGTCTACACTGGTACTTTGTCCCCGATGACCTTTATTCTCCAGCTCCCTGATCCTTCCACAGCTCAGTAAAATGAGGTGAAACTGATTCTGACAGGTCATTGGCTGAGTTCACGTTCACAAAATCATTTTAACTTCATTCTTTACAGACACAAACAGGATGTAATAGGACTTTTTAACCAAACCAGATCAATAGTCAATTCAACAGTAACTATATTAGTAGAACTCTGCCCTCTTGTGGTTACAGAAAACACGTGACAATATATGACTTTTCATCACCGGCATTCAGAGAAGAATCAGTTGGTCAATTAAAGCCTGTAGTTGCTCTACTGTTCCTTCTCTGATATAATATTTAAGTAAATATCATCTTAAATGTCCGGTTTATTTTGTCTTCACTGATGAAGTTCAGAAGTGAAGAAAACATTTGAAAGAAAAAACTTTGTTTTCTTTTTTTTTTTTTACCAAGTATCAGTGCTACTAATAGAACACAGGTGAATAAGAAAAGGTTAACAGTCAAATACAGAATGTAGGCTTGAAACATGCAGATTTTGCCCAAATCAAAATTGTTAATGTATAAGTGAACAAAAACTGTAAACTCTTTAGAAAAAAAACACTTCATATGCACTAACATGCTCGTGAAAAACTCTGTACGATAACACAAACCTTTATGATGTGTTTTAGGAAGTTTTCACACGTCCTTTTTTATACGGCTGCTTTTAAAAACCCAACAGTGACTTTACAAATTTGAAGCAATGACTAATGACTATGATTACATATTACACACACACACACTCACACACACACAGTGGCTGTTCTCACCATACCCATCATCATCATCATACAGTTCAACCCCTCCTCCTGCTGTGGCCACTTCCTCTGCTGGAGTGGTTTAATCGTGTAGGTGTAAAAACAGTTTCACAATGAACCACCAAACTAGATCTTTCTTCATCTTCAAGATCATCTGCTATACTTTTCACTCTCCAGACTTGTTCTTCTTACATTTGTTTTTTTTTTAAATTAACTTTTCTTTTGCCATGAAACTAGGAGGTCACACAGAGGGCTGGTGGATTTTCTTCTTAGCTGCCACGATCCCAGGTCAGTCCTGTCATTTTGACGTCTCATTTCACCTATGTATATGTTGTTTAAGTTTAAACAACTTTTGGAAATAACCTTGGTAAACAATGATGGATAATTTTCCAACTTAAAGAAGAGTGTGGCTCATGGATGTACAAACTAAAACAAAAACACATAATAAACCAAATTGTTTGTTCTATTTGATTGTGCTAAAGAACATAAAACAACAAATAAAAAACTGAAATGTACTGTAGGTACTGTAGGCAGAAACAGTACCAAAACATTTAAAATGTAACCACTGTGTTCTTAGCTCTGGTTTCCTGTCACACTGTGGTTCTTGTACGTGTGCTCTTCACAGTTCCACACTCTTTAGTCCTTTTGCACTCAGTTTTTGTCAAAGGCTAATCAAATCAAAACTCTGTTAAGATAGATACACAATTTTTTTTTTAACAAAAATATTCAAATGATTTCTAATTGTATGCCTTGAAGTGTAACACAATAAGAAAATAAACCGTTTCTCTCTTCACTCTTCAGGTTTTCATCTCCAGAGAATTCACAGCCCTGTCTACCAGTCCATTCTACAGTCGTTTGAAACACTCCCACCAACAGGTAAATTATTTAAGCTTCATAAAAAAAAACCAAAAAAAAACCAAACACAACAGGACAGCAGTCACGAAATTAGCTATTTTATAAAATATTGCTGTGTTTTCATTTGATTCATTTAAACTTTTGCTACTGTTCGTTACAGATTAGAACTTGTTTTCATTGAAAAGGGAGACATTAAAATAAAAAATTTTAATTAATAAAAAGCGAACACGGTCAGGTATATAATGACAAAACCTACCTGGGGCAGTGGTTTAGTGGTTAAGGAAGCGGACTTGGGTCTGGAAGGCTTTTAGGTTTGAATCCACCAGCTGCCAAGTTACCACTGTGGTGCTCTGAGCATGGCACCGTCCCCACACACTGCTCCCCGGGTGCTTAAAGCTGCCCACTGTTCACTTTGGTGATGGGTTAAAAGCAGTGGTGAGCTGTGTCACAATGACAAGTAGTTCACTTTCATACCTTTCCTGTTTGAGCTGGTACCCAACAGTAACTACAGTTACTGCCTTTAATCTGAGCACATGAACCACAATTACCAGATGAGATTCCCACTCTGGTTTCCATAGTAACGGACATCAAAGGGTTTATTCTTTTGCTTTTATATGCTTTGTTTTATAGGTAATAGGGAAAAAGGTTACGTTAAAGGCAGCATGTGCAGTGATGCACCTTGATGATCCCAGTTGTGATCAATCTCCAACAGGAACCAGCCTAAATTTGGTTATTTTGCATTTCCTTTCTGTCTGTCAGTGTGTCCACATTTTCTGACATGAGGACAGACTCTGTGCCTGCTGACAGAAACGCACCCCACAGCACTAAAGTCAAGTTGCTGCGTTCATCCACCAGCAGGGGGCAGCAGCTAGACAACTATGATGTTACTGATGTTAGCCGCCTCCCATCAACTGTGGTGGCTAACAGTCCAAGCAGTGGCATTATTGATCGGCTGTTAGAGAAAAAAAGTAAAAAACATAGAGAATCCATAAAACAACTAAATGATGAACTGACAGAACTGGCTTTTAAGTGCAAGACCCAGATTAAGTCCATTGGTGAGGAGCTGGTCTCCTTTCTGCAGGAGGTGGACCTCAGGTTGGACACGCTGAAGGACAAAATAAAACAAGTGCACAATGTCACGCTGCATGACATGTTTAGTCTGTGGGAGCAGGTGGAGAGTGAGGTCAAGCTGAAGAAAGAGAAAGTCGTCGAGGCCAACCGTCGAATGCGTGACTGCGAGACGAATCGAACAAACACGATTAGAAGTGTTCTTACAAAGTACAGTCAACTCCTGGAGAAAATCAGTTTTCTGCTGCCACCTGATGTCCACAGGCTGATCCACGGCAAGGCGGCGATGTTGAATCAGTCTCTGTTAGCAAACCGCCGCAGCCTGGCCCGCATGCTGCTGCATCTTCAGGAGGAGATCCTGCAGCAGCAGTCAGTCTTTCATCTGCACTGGGACGACTGTCTCAGCTGCTGGAAGAAGAACAGAATAACGGAGGTCATCGACAACGTCAAGCAGCTTTGCGTAAATGATAGGACACAGCACGTGATCACAGCTCAACAGCAGAGTGAACTTCTCCGAGACCAGACTGAACAACGTTGTGTCGTCATCTCCCAGATCAACCCTCTGCTCCAGGACACCTGCTCCATCTCTGTTGTCTCTGATTGGTACGAACAACTAAAAGCCGTCAATGAACAGATTAACCGTCTTCATGCCGACTCCCTCCATCACCTGCGATGCAGTTATGAGCAGATGTGGCAACATCAGCTGAGTGAGGTAGAATACTGTAAAGAGGCGCTCTCAGCTCTGCAGCTGTCAGAGACGGAGATGCAAGATGCCATCAACTCGCAGCTTCTACCCTACATTGGACAAGTCCAGGTCCAGGATGAAGAGCGATTGGCCGCCTTGGACCTGCACTGTGACACTTTGGCCCGATACGACTTCATGCTCAGCCGCTCTGTGTTTGCCGTGTTGAGAGGAGCAGCGTTACTGTGGGACTCACACGACCTCAGGCTACGAAGAAGAGAAGAAGAAGTGCAGCAGCAGCTGACAGAACTTCGATGCTCCCAGTTGGGACACTTGCGAAACAAAAAGATACATCTGGATGACCTGCTGGCTGGCCTTCGTCAGGCTTGCAGCCACGAAACTCTGTCGACATCTCTGGACAAAGCTGTCCACTGGCTACAGGTGATTAAAGACAGCTATGGACCCTTCGTGTCGGATCAGTGGAAGGTGTTGGATCGACTCCCATCTCTCTTCCTGGATGAGCTCCTCTCCTTCAGTAGCAGCCTGGGCTCCTACTTCCACCTTAGACACACTTACACACCAAGCCAAGAAGAGCTGCAGAAGTTTAACCTCACGTCTCGCCTGTCCTCCAGTCCAGGGGCAACACCTTATCCAATCAGCTGCCAGGATTATATCGATTCTACTCAGCCCTTCCAGGCCTGGCTGGCTGAGGCAGAGTCCTCTCTGCTCAATCTCTACGACACCAGCAACAACACTTTTACATTTACGTCATCAAGCTCTACTACCTACTCAGGCCCTGCCTTCAAATGCCCCACACCAGAAACAAAAGAAAACCTGCAACACACAACACACCTGAGTCTGTTTCCTTTGGATCTGCTGGCACAGACTTTGAGCATGACTCGAACTCTGTTCTTGGAAAAGCTGGAGCAGCATTTCCATGATCTTCTTACCTCAACTATGGTCATAGTTACAGACAGAAAGGAAGCCGTGTGTCTGGACCAGGAGCTCCAGATGCAGCTGCTCAACCCACAACACATTGAAGAACAGATTTATCAACCCCGTTTGGGGGAGCTACAGCTTCATCAACAACGGGCAGAAATTCATTGTCGGGAGGTTCACGATGTATTGAACTTCTGCAAGACCGAGCTAAAGATGCTGCAGATATTTATCGGGAGGAAGAATGAAGAGTTTATTTCTACTCTGTCCAACATGGAAAAAGACTTTTTGTCTGTCAGCAACAGCCAACGCCTAGAGTTTGTAAGCTCCACCCTGCAGGACCTAATGGATCAATATATCAAACGTACCCAGGTTTGTCAGAATGCCTTTAGACAGACGGTCCAAAACAAAGTGAGCAACATCAGGAATGAAACTGGAAAACTCCTAGGTTCCATCAGGTTGTTCAGCGAAGGAGGTGACTTTGCTCCTCAAGAGATGAAGATGTTTCAGAGGAAGCTAAGAGATGAAAGCAAACGTATCTGTGCAGCTGAGCAGTCACTTTGTGCTGAGATGGAGTGTATTGAAGGCAGTAGTCTAGAAGAAGTTAGGGAACCATTTGATCGAGTTGCGGAGGAACTTTCTCTCTGGACGTCTGAGGTGAAATTTAGAGAGAAGATTGATAAAATCATCTGTAGCACAAGAATTCAAATCAGAGCTGAAGCTGCCAACAATAATCAGCAACAGTCATCGATCAGCAGCCGGCTAAAGGACGTGAAGAGTATGTTGGAGGATCCACACGTGTGTTCAGATGAGTTGTGTTATCTGCTTATTTCTGTTGGTGAGGAATTGAGAAAACGGTGCGAGTATCTGGACTATGAAGACCAAGAACTGCTCACTCTGTCAGCTCATCCAAAGTTCAGGAAGCGAATCCATTCCCTTCCCATAGCTGGTCCACTGCCACCCAGTAAACCAGGAGGAAATGTCATTGATGAGCCCGCAGCGGACATCATCCAGTCGCTAAACAGGTTAGCTGTGGTTCAAGAGAAGCCACCAGATACAAAGGTGAGAGAAAAACCTGGTCGCAGTCATGCACACCGCGTTCAGCCAAAATGGAATGAGATCGTCATTCCTCGAAAATCAATAACAACGGATCGAAAGTTCCAGATCTTTGGACCAGAGCCTGAACAGGATCCACAGTGTCTCATGTCAGTGGTGAACTTTGTGCTGTTTAAAACCAACGATTTGCTCCTCCAGACTGGAGAGGACTTCTATCAGACTGAGCGTCATTGCAAGTTCCAAGTAGTTCCTGAAACTGTGGAGCCATGGGCTGAGAGTATCCAACAAAGGTTGCTGGGATTTCAGGATCAGGCCACCGAACTGCTGGAAATGAGCAGAACGATCTTGGGAAGCCAGCACTGTGTATTCAAGGACCTGCTGAAAGAAATACCTTCAATTTTAATAAGGAACCACGAGGAACAGAGACGAGCAGAGCTAATTGCAAAGGTGAATGACGTCACAGAAAATCTAAGGGAACATCTGAGGGCCAGTGAGGAGGAAAGGCTTGTCAATGTCCAGGAACTGCGTGTGTCTCTCAAGGAGGCTGAGCTGCAAGATCTGGTGAGCAGAGAGGAGATGAGGCAGCAGCAGCTGCACAGTGCCATCTCCAGCTCACACCAGGAACTACAGGAATTCATACAGGCCTATCTGCAGGAGTTTATGACGTTGCTGGTTTGTTTAGCAGAGAAGCTCATCATTGTGCTGGATGGACTTCTTACACCTTCACAGTTCAAGATGAAGTTATTACAACTCCCTGACCGTGCTGCTACAGAGGAGACATCTCAACCAGGACAGACATCAGACACAGGGACGAGTCTTCCATCATCTTCCAGGTGCAGCGTTGAACCACAAACTACAGCATCCACCATGACGAGCAGACACATCACAGACCATATGAATGTGACCGAGCTCAAAGACGCTGCACTGGAACGGTTTGAGGAGCGGTGTAGGTCCGAGATGTTCCGTTCTGAGACAGATAAACTGAAGCAACTGCTCAGCATAGAGGTGTGGAACGAACATTGGACAATACAGATTGACACACTGACACAGATCAATGCAATAGCAAGCACACCAGCGTACTAACAACAGGGTCCTCACACACAAAAAAACATGGATATTGTCATAAGAAATGTTGTTGTTGGTTCTACCCCAGAACCACAGAACCTCTGTCTGACTCAGTCCTTCAGAGTTTGGGGGAAATATGGACTGGTTGGGGCAGAGAGTGAGTCAAATTTGACCTTGGGCAACATCGCTTGATGAAGCCGCAGCATAAGAACCAACACATTAGCCAAAAAATATAGACCCACATTCTTTAGCACTTGCTGAGAATTAGTTTCTTTTTTTAAATAAATTCATGCAGATTTAAGTTGTTGTTATTTTAATGTTGTGTTTTTCATAAACAGGTGTAATAAATTCATAAACAGTGTTTGTGTGAATTGGAGACTCTGTATAAGTTACAAAGAGACAATGAATAAAAGGTGGATACAATACTGGCGTAATGTTATAATTGGTGTGATAAAAAATATTTTAGAAAAATCTGACAACACTAAGAGTTATTTGTTAATGGTTAAATTATATAAAAGAAAGTGTTACATTATTAAAATAGGATTTGAATCGTCACAACATGTTGACAGTTTACAGCAAACTCAAAGTTGAGGGACAAACAGGATTAACATTTATTGAACTGTTTAATGCTGACAGTGCTTTAACCAGAAATGTTGTATTTGAACAGACTGCAACAAATTTTTCTTTAATAAAATACATTTTTAATCAAAATTAAAACATCTTTCTTTAATAAAATACAAAAAAAATACAATACATTTTTAATCAAAATTAAAACATAGCAAAATTGAAATTTGAGACTTGACCACTGCATTTAATCCACCTAGTAAACATTAGGGTGTACTCTCATTTTAAGACACCCACATTCCAAGCCGAGCTTAGGGCCACTTAAAATGATGAAGCGTGCCAGATTTGGCCCAAGGGGGCCTTGAGTTTGACATATGTGATTTAAAGTGTTTACTATTAAAACAAATAGATCCAGTAGGGGGTAGTAATACGACTTGTGGTTTTAAATCTAAAAAACACAATTTGGTCATAACCATAATTTTTTGTGAGGTGAACAGCTCCATAGAACAGTGAAGCTCTTGGTATTTGTCTTTTAATGTGTGCATTAATAGCCAATATGTGTGTTTTATGCACAGGGACCTACACACTAAGAAAGGCTGATGGGACGACCTGCGTTAAAATCACAATGGGAGTTCAGTACGTCATCTATGAAAAGGTTTATATGCTACGTTGCATTAACATGTTCTACAGTGGCTCTCTCTCTTTCTTATTTTCCTTCTTGTTTTTCTATGATTAAATAGTGAGATCGCATCCAAAACACAAACTCCACATCTGTTCCAAATGCAGAAAAATCCAGCTGCCGTGTGACAGCAACTTCTAACAAGCATATCATCATTTTTTAATGAATTTAATCATTCATCTCTCCTTTTTGTAAATGTAGAAGACCTGGTACTATAGTTTGGACCCGTCCAGGATCAGAACAGATGGTCACTGTGGCAAAGAAGAAGCTGTTCTCTCTTTGACTCTCTCAGACAATGCTGCTTTTCTGCAGTTCACCATCGCAAAGGTATGAAACCTATTTAGTATTATGTCTGTTTGAAATCTAACTGTTGTTAAAAAAGTTTTTTTTTTTTTTTCTATCAGGACAAGAATGTTGTTTACATCGCTAAACTGACTGCTCACTTGTCTCCTTTTCCTGTGTGCCACGGATGTGCCAGTAAGAGACAGGTTAAAACCATCCACTATGGTCGTTTTAAAATGTGCGCAGAAGTAACTAATGTTTCTGTTTTATTTCTTATCTTTATTCTCTCAGACAAGACTTACTTTGGCTTGTTGGACCACAGCAAATTGTTTATAGCAGCTCACGGTGGGACCTTCAAGTGCAAATCGGAAAATGTGCTTTTAATGTCATCTGAGATGAAGCTCAGGTTGGTTCCTCTGCAGATACAGGCCTTTACGCTGCCCACTGGACCTCACGGCAATGGTGAGAGTGAATGACTTGAGCCACCTAATAGCCTGATGGCAATAATGAAAATGCATATTTACATCTTGTTTTTTGTTTTTTTATTGTTCAGTTTTTTGGTTCCCAAAGTTCTCTGTTAGTTATATAAATTGTAAGAAAAATAATATTAAAACAAAGCAAGGAAACATAAAGACAATTTTTCATAAGCAGAGATGTAATGGGTGGTTGAATACATAAAGAAGGAGAAATTATGTTTTATTAAAAAAGACATTACTCATTAGCACTTGAGTTCACCATAAAAGGATAGATAAAAACAGCTCTATAACAGGTTCTCTACATCTTCTATGAGATTCTTATTTTATGGCCTGAATAATACCTAAAATAAACTAATTGTTAGGGCATGTGATCACTTTTTGTTGGTTCCCCTCTTTTTTTGTTTCAGACGTGGAGTGCTTAGCTGACTATAACAAGCGAATCACCTCTGTCGCACTGGTGGCCATTGCAGTTGGAGTGGCCCTGATGGTGGTGCTCATATTCCTGCTCCGCAGAGATCATCAGTATCTTCAAGAATATCAGAGAATATAAGCCATTTGTTTCAACATTTGAGGAACATTTTAGACTCCATGACTATTACCCCAGTGTCAATTTTTTTCATCTTTTGATATTTCTTCAGGTCATATTTCAAGTTTTGCAAATTTCCTGTCTGCTAGGATCCCACTCTTACTTCTGATGCCATTTAATAAACGTTTTGTGACAGTGAGAACTGCTGTAGATCAAACAAAGTGGTGAACTAATAAAGATATGTCCTTCTTTTGTTTAGCAGAAACTTAAACTGTTTTATATTTGTTGAGTTTTAACATATTTTTCTAAAAATCATTTTTACCATGATGCATCTGCCGTTTCTATCACGTCTACTGTTTATAACAAAAACGATCATAAGGTTTTGTGGTAAACATAGAAATTGAATTGTCTCCATCTTCTGTCTATTGTGGTTACTGCAGTTATATTTTTCTTTCGTCCCCGCCTCCATGTCCTCTGTTCTTATTGGTTACCGACGCTACGAGTCCCCGGAAGGACAATAAACCCCAATACATTAAAATTACTGTGCGACAGTTTTTCGAGTGCGTGTTGAACTGCGAAAACGATAACGGTATCTGAGAGTTAGACAGTAAAGACTAGGACAAACAAATACAGCCTTTCGGCTTCTTTACCATGCAAGGTTAATTACAGCTTCGCTTTCCCCCGCGTCCAGCTGTTATTAGCCTAGCATAATTTAGCAGAGCTAGCAGCAGCAATGGCTGCAGTTATACTCAGTTTCCCCTCTTTGCAGGGTCTACGAATATTTACACAGTGAGTATTTAAGATACTTATATCTCTGACGCAGATGCCTTTATCCTAAACATGTTTTACCCAGGAGCTATTTTATTGTTACGTTGAACACTTACAAACTTAGAAGAGTGCATTTTTTACCGCTAAGTTTGTATAAGTCACTAGAGTTTTCGGTCGTTAATCTGTCAATGGGACAAAATAATTGCTATTTTCAACAAAGCATCATCTTGTTTTGGATGTATTTGTTTCAACTTGCCATTTTCTGGAGTTAAATGAGTTAAATAGATGAGATATTGTCAACTTAGCAAGGTTAAACTACGTTAACGTTAGCATGGCTAACGTAGCAGAGTACACGCTGACATTCAGCTGATGGGTTCGTCTTAACTGTATAGTATTTATAGTGTAAATAAACCAAGTTTAACCCTAACCGTTACAATTTATCCATGCAGGAGATTGTCATGGACCAAAAGAGGAGTGAGGCTCGTGTCTGGAGGTGAGCTCTTTGACAGAAACCCCGTTAAATGAATAAAGTAGATGTCTGTGATTTTGGCTTCTTGCATTCAGATGGTAATGTGGGATAGTACTTCTACAACCAAAACAAATGTTTACAAAATAAATTCGCAAACCACGAAGTGTTTATCTTACCCTAATTTAAGAAAAAGGTCCTTTTGTAAACTGTCTTGCTCTTCATAATTCATTGTAATACATGTTGTGGTTATTTTCAGTAGGTTAAAACTTTGAGTCTTTAGAGCAGCAATTAGGCCCACAAAGGACCACTGTGGCTGCAGGTTTTTGTTCCAACCAAGCAGCAGCACACCCGACTTGGCTTATTTAATCAACTGCTATGAATCTTCAGACAGTTGATTGGTTAGTCAGTGTATTCTGGATAGGTTGGGGAAAAGCCCTTTGTGCCCAGGTTTGCTTTAGAGGAATTATGTTGTGGTGAAATCTCTCTTTTTTCCAGATGTGCACAGGATAGAGAAAGTGCTTATTGCAAACCGAGGAGAGATTGCGTGTCGTGTGATGCGAACAGCAAAGAAGATGGGTGTCCGCTCAGTTGCAGTGTACAGTGACGCAGACAGAGACTCCATGCATGTTGCCATGGTAAAATGCTTGAACTTTTTCTTTATCATAATGTATTTATACACTATATTTATCTAGCATGTTGTGCTCTAAATGTGTCTAATAATCATAGTTTGTTGTTTTTGTAAATGTGTTTGAAAACTAGTTTTCGGCCTGTTTGTTTTGTAGGCAGATGAAGCTTATCACATCGGGCCTCCGCCCTCCCAGCAGAGTTACCTGGCTATGGAGAAAGTTTTGGAAGTAGCAAAGAAGTCTGGTTCACATGTGAGCATGTTATTCGTCGCTAATGAGTAAAAAAAAAAGAACAACGTCCAAGTCCATGTTGCCAGTAACTGCCTTTTCCAGAGTCTGAAGATTTGACTGTAATTTTTATTTCTGTAGGCTGTTCATCCTGGTTATGGCTTCTTATCAGAAAACACAGAATTTGCAGAGGCCTGTAAACAAGAAGGCATCATCTTCATCGGCCCTCCTTCGTCAGCCATTCGTGACATGGGCATTAAGAGGTGACACTAACAAACAGTCTTCTTCTTCTTTTTCTTTCGGCTTTGTCCCTTTTTTCAGGGTTACACTAACAAACAGTCAATAATTCACATTTGAATGCAATAAAAGACAGCATTAATGTTGATTCATGTCACCACGTGTTCACTCCAGCACATCGAAACACATCATGTCAGCTGCTGGAGTACCAATTATTGGCGGTTACCATGGAGAGGACCAATCAAATGAAAGACTACAGGCAGAGGCTGCTCAGATCGGTTACCCTGTGATGATTAAAGCTGTGCGAGGAGGAGGAGGAAAGGTCAGCAAGTGAAAAGAAGTTCAAAAAAAAAAAAAAAAATTGGCAGGTTCAGTTTGGATGACAAAATATCTGTTCATCTGTGTTTCCTGCAGGGAATGCGTATTGCACGCTCGGACTCAGACTTCTTGGAGCAGCTGGAGTCGGCAAGACGAGAAGCGAGAAAGTCTTTCAATGACGATGTTATGCTGATTGAAAAGTTTGTGGAAGATCCCAGGTAAAACTTTTTAATCCTTGGTCAGTCTGGTTAGCTTTCTAGCCACATGACTGTGTGGTAGCTTCATTGTAAAATTATGAAGATGAAAAAAAAGAGTATCGTATTTTATCAGGGTCAGAAATTAGCTCTCAAGTTTAGGAGGAACGGCCCTTGAAACATCTGATAATATCCCTTCAAACTGAATATAAACGTTTTTTATTAAAAAGTTATACCTTGTTTTTTGCTTTCTGTCTGTCTTCTGCAGACATGTGGAGGTTCAGGTGTTTGGAGACATGCATGGTAACGCTGTTTATCTGTTTGAGAGAGACTGCAGTGTCCAGAGGAGACATCAGAAAATCATAGAAGAAGCTCCAGGGGTGAGTGCAGTGTAGTAGTTCTGATTGTTTGTGTTTAAAATTCAGGTAATTTCTTAATTAAATTAATTTCTCACATTTACCAAGTTAAATCTCATGTAAGATTTACGTGAAACCACTTTTTGAAATCATTTCTTTTTCAGGTGAAGTGATGCCTGACCTAAATGCACTGAACCCCTGGTGTATTTGGACATTGATTCTTTGATGGACACTTACTGTATATTTCCTTTTATTTTCCTTTTTTCCCCCCCAGCCTGGTATTAGTCCTGAGGTGCGAAGGAAACTTGGAGAAGCAGCAGTCAAAGCAGCTAAGGCTGTCAACTATGTAGGAGCAGGTGAGACACATTAACATAATTATTGTCCTCAGCACCAGGTCACACTGCACACACAGTGTTCTTACATTAAGACTGTGTTCCCTGTAGGTACTGTTGAGTTCATAATGGATGCCAAGCATAACTTTTACTTCATGGAGATGAACACCAGACTGCAGGTGGAACATCCTGTCTCAGAGATGATTACTGGAACTGACCTGGTGGAGTGGCAGCTCAGGGTGAGAGGGAGCAGAAAGATGTAGTTAATGTGTCAAAGCTGTTGTTGACAACTTGAACGTTGTAATGTGCTTTTAATTCAGACCCTGTTTGAATTTAAAACACCAGTCTTAGAACTTGTCTTAGAATCAGTTTCTTTCAGTCTTAAACTGAAAAAAACTGATTATACTTTCCCCACGCCCTGCAGGTGGCAGCAGGTGAGCGTCTGCCTCTTCTCCAGGATGACATCATCTTACGAGGGCACTCGTTTGAAGCTCGCATCTATGCAGAGGATCCAAACAATGACTTCCTCCCGGGGGCGGGGCCTCTGCTGCATCTCTCGACACCTCCACCGGAAGAACAAACTCGCATTGAGACTGGAGTCAGGGAAGGTGTGAAGACCAAGATCCACTTTCAAAAGACTCTTGATCTGTGATCGATCGGTCACACTAATATTTGTTATAAGAAGTGTACACAGTTGGTGTGACAGTTTGTCCCGACCCACAAATAAAACCTATTTCTCTGGGTTGTTTCAGGAGATGAAGTGTCGGCACACTATGACCCAATGATCGCCAAGCTTGTGGTGTGGGGGGAAGACCGATCAGCTGCCTTGAAGAAGCTACGTTACTGTCTACGGCAGTACAATGTGAGGAAAAACACATACAGGCAGTAGTTATAGTAGTTATATGCCCTGTGGTACTATGTTATATTTATATTTTTCAGTAAGAGTTTTCCAGAGTCTCTAAGTAACAGTTTGTCAGTCAGACTGTAGATTGTAAAAGTGTAAACATGCTTAAGTGTATCCATCCATCCATCCATTTTCATCCGCTTATCCGTTACCGGGTCGCGGGGGCAGCAGTCGCCACCCAAATCACATTGCACCGTACCAAACCTTCCTGCGGGTGGTGAGTCCACTGGAAGGTACCAACCTCCCTAACCGGGATTCGAACTTGCCCAGGAGGTGAACCCTGGGGGTCCACACCAATGACAGAGACATTGCCTCTGGGCCAAAGCGCCACTGCTTAAGTGTAGTTTGTTTAAATTTGTATTTTTTTTTTATTAAGTTATTGAAGGTGGATGACATCGCAAAAAATTTGAAATTTTCTTCTGTTGTCCATCAAATGAGGCAGCGTCTCAAAATGTCCCGACAGACAGACAGGAATAGATTAAAATAAAACAATAATGTGATATCAGCACACCTGAGAGTTGTGTGACGTTGGAAATAGCTCCCCCTAAGGAAAGGGAGAAACATGTATGTTTATAAACGGTGTAGGAGAATTTATTCTTACTTTGTTTTGACTTTCAAACCCTGCATTCTTCCACCAGATCGTGGGACTAAACACCAATATTGATTTTCTGCTGAGTCTTTCTGGACATCCAGAGTTTGAGGCTGGAAACGTGAGCACCAGCTTCATCCCTCAGCACTACGCCGACTTGTTCCCTGCACCACGACCTCCGTGTGGGGCAACCGTCTGCCAGGCAGCCCTGGGTCTGCTGCTGCAGGAGAAGACGCATGTACAGGAGTTCACTGAGGCGTCCACTGGTGAGAGGACGACTACGCCAACCATGAACTGCTGTTTAAAAATAACTACAGGAGAGTTACTGGTTGTTGTTGTTTTTTTTTTCTTTTTTGTTTTCTTAGATCCCTTTTCACCTTTTGGCTCCAGCAGCGGCTGGAGAAACAATGTGGTTTTTATCCGAAATATGACACTACAGGTGGGAGACAAAAGTAAGTTCCTGCTGTACTGTGACTCTGATGCCCCCTGTTGGACAGGTACAGAGTGGAATTTACGTATTAGAACGGTGTTTCTTATGTGTAGGATTTTGGAACAAGGTCTTCAGCGTGAGCTTGGCAACCTCTAGGGGTCTGAAGAGGTATCACATGAGGATTAGACAGTTTTATAACAGTTAAAATAATGAGTTCTAATGCTGATCTGACACTTTGTTAATGAACTCAATTATTATTCAACGTTTCTATGAAAAGGGAAACGGCAGAGCCAGAAAAAGTTCAGGCTGTGATGTCACTCTTATGAGTGACGATGATGATGATGATGATGGTGAGCCAATGACTTTGTGCTTCTACTTTTGTTCTATGAAATTAAATGTATTTTCTATGTGTTCTCAGAAGTTGATGTGGTGATCAAATATAACAGTGATGGGAGCTACAGTATGCAGGTGAGATTTTATAGTACATTATATATTTATATTATATAGGATTTGAGTTTTACTTTTCTTGAGATCTTTCTATATTAATGATTTTATCGTTTGGATAAAATTAATAGAAAAAAGTTTTTGTCATATTTAACATGGACAGTTTCCCTTGATTCAACATCACCATTTATGATAAATCATGTAAATTTTGATCACGATTAATTGAGGTACATGCAATTGTGATTAATCATGATTAATCCATAGTCACTCTGTAGTCTTTTTTTACTTCAAATAATATTTTGACTAAAGCATTTTCAAGTGATGTCCATAAATATTCCGTCGTGGCAGTGTCTGAGCTTTGCCTTGGATCTTTTTCCAGATTGGTGAGGACGTGTACCATGTGACTGGAACAGTTGAGCTTGAGGGAGGAGCTTCCTACCTTCACTGCTCTGTCAATGGAGTGAAGTCCCGTCCTAAACTGGTCATCCTGGACAACACGGTCCATCTGTTCTCCACTGTATGTTCACTACCGAGTCACCAACACCTACATTTATACATATTGTTTACTCCTAGTGATGTTATGAAGTAACAAGTTAAGGTTCTAAGCTTTACTTCTCATCAGTGAACAAATGAATGTTTACATGCTTCATGTCACCTCTCAACAATTCCACCAACATTGGTCATTTGTCATAAGAGGCGACAGTGTCCCCTGGTGGCATTCGACGACAGTGCAGTATACATATTTTCTATATAAATCACTTTAGAATCACTTTAGAATATTTGGCAGGACCAGCCAAACTAAGAAAAGAAAACTAACTTGTAAATATGTGGGTTATATGATAAGTTGAAACATTGTCATAATTTAATTGTTTCGTGCAGGAGGGAAGCTCTCAGGTCTCTGTTCCAGTGCCTAAATATCTGGCTGGTGCTAGGGGTTCTGGGGCACAGGGCGGAGCTGTGGCCCCCATGACAGGAACCATAGAGAAGGTGAGTTAATGATTGTACCTGGGTTGGTAAAACAGAGCAGTGAATTTAAAATAGTTAGGATCATCAAATACTGTTTGTCAAGTTTGCATCATAGCACTTTTGAATTATCTTCATTGTTACTGTTACAAATGCTTGTACTGTGTTTGTAAAATACACATTTTGCTCTGCTTTACTCCATTTACTCTATTATCAATGAGCTCCACTCATCACTGTATCAGAGGATATGATATACAGTATATATACTCAAGCTGCTGTGTTGGTTTCAGGTGCTGGTAAAGGCTGGAGATAAGGTGGCTGCGGGCGACCCTCTGATGGTCATGATCGCCATGAAGATGGAGGTTTGTACAGGAAGTGGACTCGGGGGTAGGTTTTAAGCCGGAGAAGATTTTTTTTTTTTTTTTAGAGTTTTGTTTTTGTGTCTGTGCAGCACACAATCCGAGCACCAAAGTCGGGCGTGATCAAGAAAGTGTTCTTCAGTGAGGGCTCTCAGGCCAATCGTCACGCTGCTCTGGTGGAGCTGCAGGAGGAGGGAGAGGAGGAAAATGGAGGAGGAGGAGGAGAGGCAGTCAGCAGCCAGTGAATTTATTCACAAGTGGATGGAGACAAAAGAGATGGAGGTAAAAAAGTTTGTGCTCAGACAACTGGATAGTGACATGTTTAGACTCTGTTTGTTCCTTCCTATAAAGCAGGTCTAGATGTGTGTGGTCAGGTTGATGTTTGAAGAATTTTGAACTGAACATTTTTCCAGGAGCTGGAACTAAAAAAAAAAGATCAAAGTTTTTCCTTAGTTAAGCTTTGATGGTTGATGTAGGGTTGTGGAGAGATGCCTGTATTTCTGTGAATTTATTTTTGCTCTTCCATTTTTTTTCTTCCTTCTTTTGGTGGTAAGTGTAGAATGTTAGCAGACATTTGTTTTTCTTTACTCAAAGCACTTGTATGTTGTCAATAATAAGGACTGAAGGCGCACATTTACACATTCATCTGACTGAAGTGAAAAGTTTCTCGGCTCAGTATCTTCGGCCTCCACTTCCTTGCGTTGCTCCTGAAATTTCTATTTAAAAAAAGCACTGGCAGGTTTAACAGACGGTGACAAAACTGCATAAAATAAATGGTCTGAAATTTGACATTTGAGGAAATGTTACTGATATGTGAGAAATAATGACACTTGTGACTGCAGAGAAGTTTGCAGTTCCACCAACTTAGTTGTTCTTAGTTCAATCATGTTTTAATGAAAAGGTGATATAGTATTTAGGCTAATATATAAACTAATGTCCTAATAATGAAGAGTTCACATTTAGCTCTGTGTAACTGAGAAGACAGAGGGAAAAAACACTCCAACTGACATCTGACTCTAGTCCAAACGTCTGTTTTTTTTACAGGATGAATCAAATAAACACAATCTGTATGTTGACATGTTCATGTATACGTGTTAATGAACAGTCGGTCATACTGTGTTCTGACTGTTCTCTGAGGCCTTTCTTCACTACATTTGTCAGTGTAAAGATATATTAAGCATGGCAGGCGTTTTTTTTTGTTTGTTTTGGGGTTTTTTTACATTTATTAATGTAAACTGGTCTGATGGTGTAATAAAAAAATACATAAAGTTGCTAATGTTTCCTTTAAAGAGGTATAATACATAGCTAAATGTAACAAATTTCTCATTCTCATTATTTTTTAGAAAAACTATTTTTGGAATTTTCAACAAAATTCTAGTTTTGCGTCATTGGTCAGAATGTAAAAAAATGATCATGAAAAGTTTTGAAAATTATTTAAAATCTTTTCTGCATGTTTCTCATCAAATTAGAGCACTTTGAGAATTATTTTAGAAAAATTTTTTTGAATTTTTTGACAAAATTCTAGTTTCGCATGTTATGTTGGTCAGAAGGTGAAAATGTTCATAAAATGTGTCAAAAAATTCCAAAAAACATTTTTTCTAAAAAAAAATTGAAAATGCTCTAATTTGATGGAAAACATGTAAAAAGGATAACATTTTAAATTTTTCAAACATTTTTATAAAATTTTTTTACATTCTGACCAACGTGATGTAAAACTTGAATTTTGTCGAAAAATTTAAAAAAACTTTTTTTTCAAAAACAATTCTGAAAATGCTATAATTTGATGAAAAAGATGCAGAAAAGAATAAAATTTCAATTTTTGACTTCAACTTCTGACCAACCTGACCTGCGAACATGAATTTTGTCAAAATATTCCAAAAAACATTTTTTCTAAAGAAATTCTCAAAGTGCTCGAATTTGATGAGAAACATGCAGAAAAGATAACATTTTAAAAAAAAATTCATGTTTTTGGTGAGATTTTGAAATATTAAAATATTCCAAAAAACATTTTTTCTAAAGAAATTCTCAAAGTGCTCGAATTTGATGAGAAACATGCAGAAAAGATAACATTTTAAAAAAAAATTCATGTTTTTGGTGAGATTTTGAAATATTCATATAATATATTTTTTTGGTTTTTAGCACAAATTATTCACTTGTTCACATGTTTTGGGGTATAAACTTGCATTTTGAGGCATTTCTG